ATTCCTGTGAAAGATATCAAAAAGTGATCAACTGATAAAACATTAGTGATATTATGATAAACAATTCAACAGTTGACAATTTTTTGATAACTTTTACAGGAATCTAGATAATTGAGCTCAAAGTTGGAGTGGCTTTATATTAGAGTGTTCACGGATGACAAACGAGTTTCAGTAATGTTAAACGAAGCAAAATTTTTGAAAATTTGCGGAAAAGCACTTGAAATTCTTTGTGATTTGGTTAAGCTTCCCAATGCACCATATTGTTCTGGAAAGTTCGAAATGGTGATTTTTCATTCTAAATCCTGGGTCAAGTTCCTTTTAGGCTGCTCCGATTTCAAGTGGTCTCCAGGGACAGTGTCACCAAATTTGTCAAAGAGGTCAAGAAGAAAGTAGTGACAGATTTTGAACGGTCCGTTTAAGATTATTTGTATTGGAAAGAATTCAATAGAATCTATAAGAGTTTAACTTATACGAATTAGGTTGAAAGTCTTGAAATCGCGATTTTCAAGATTTTTGGACAACTGCGACTTTTGAGAACCCCGACGTTTCAGAACCGCGACGTTTCAGAACCGCGACATTTTAGAACTGATCATTTGAGAACTGTTGCAAAACTGTCAAATTTTACTGGTAAAATACCGATAAAATCACCAAAAAAGCCGATACCGGTAAGTGAAAATCGGAAGTCACACACTGCTTCTCTTACAGGTTTTAAGGTAAATATGATTTTTATTGAATTCCAGCTTTTTTCAGCTATTCCGAACTTTCTAAGTTGCCATGAATCTAAATAGAGATCTCTCCAAGATTGTCTTCTCCCTAAAATTCCAAAACCTCTCCTTTAAAAACTCAACAAAAACTCCTCATTATCCTCATTTTTTTGTTTTCCTATTCTCATTCTTCTATGCTCCCGTTTGGTGATCTTCGCATCAAACACAAAGCAGACGTCGTTTGAAGTTTATGAGTTCCGTTCCGATTTTTCCTCCCGATTTTTGAGCATCGTGCACTTTTGAGATCATCGATCTTGAACTTTTAAAACTTGTCTATAGTCGTAAATCTTTATTGACTGTCTGTAGGACTTGGATGTAATTTTTTTTCTAGAAATTTCCAAAAAGGGAGAGTCCTAGTTTTTTGAAAGACCCACTCATCGTAATGAATGCGTTTTCGACAACAAAAACACTCGAATTCATTGGTTTCGCTCCTCCTCCACTCTCTTTTTTTTTCCAGAATCCGTTTTTCAGAAGACGTTGACATCGTTTTTCGGAGGCTTCTTTTTTCTTTTAGTTTGGCTTCTAATTTCCGGAGATCGCGTTTCTTCTTCTGTGCTGCTTCTTCGATGAAGAAGCTTCTCCTTTCGGCTTCATTTTTGGGTCCTTTCCTATTCTATCTCTGTCGTTGTCGAAATAAATTTCAAGTCAAGAGCAGAAGGAGAAACAAAACAAAACAATGGGGCGCCCTCCAATTCTGCTTTAGTTTATTCAACGTTTCTCGTTTTTGTGTCTCGAATTGTTTCGAAAAGTTTCTTGAGCCTGATTTTGTTTAGGCAGACAGTTTTTTTTTTTCTGAGCCTGATTTTTGTTTAGGTTAGACAGTTCTTATTGATGTGAGTAGATTTTTTCATTTATTGTTTTTAGTAATCTGGAACCGTCGACCTGTAACTTTTCGTTAGAATTGTCGGAGGGCTTTTGGACAAGTTCTGGTCGGAACTTGCCCAAAAACGACAGATTTCGGTCGGAAGTTTAAATTTGTAATTCTTATCAGGACTAAGTTACTAGAACCAGGATTACCGTAAACCCTGTAATAGAATGCCCCCCCCCCCCATTTTCTGTGGAAGATATCAAAAAGTGGTCAACTGATGAACTGTTTATAATAGCGTCACCAATATTTTATTAGTCGACTAATTTTTGATATCTCTCATGGAAACCGAGATAATCGAGCTCAGACTTGACAGTGTAAGGGTTCTTCTATTACAGGTATTACGGTATGTGAAGATGGATACATGAGATTTTTAAAGCTCAGCTGGTATTATTTTTTCACTTGATTGTTCAACTCCTTAACTTCTAATGATAGATGTCTTGGTTTATTTGTTTCATGTCTTCTAGCTTTTTTCATCTGACATAAATTCCAAGATGTGGTCTTCATTCCCCATGAACTTATCTCTTGTAGACCCTAATTCCTTAAATATGCCTGAAATCGTTTTCTTCCGTTTTTAATTCACTTTCCTAATGTTCAAGATTTGTCCTATCACTGCTAATTTTTTATAAATCCTAGTAGTTTCGAAAATAATTACCGTAAAACCTTAATTAAAATATCCTTCTCTCAAAACCATCCACTTCGAGCCCATATATCTCGGTTTCTGTGAAGGGTATCAAAAAAGTGTCAACTAATACAGTCTTTGTGATGTTATAATAAGCAATTTATCAGTTGACAACTTTCTCATTTCCTTTAACAGGAACCGAGAAAAAAACAACAAACTAGAGAAAAATGTGATCATCAGTGCTAAACCAATATGACGTTATTCTTTCTTTCTTTTTCATTTCATTTTTTAATTGGTGAGGGTGGAGAGTTGGGCTGTGTCTAAGCTATCATTATCTAACTTTTTTCTCGTTAATGTCTACTTTAAATTTTTTGAAACTTCGTGTTCAGTGTCAAACTTTTATATGAACTTTAAAAAATTATTTTTTTTCTAGAAAATTTTTCTTGAGAAACTTTAAAAGAATCCTGAGCGACATTAAAAGTGCATTCTGACTTGAAAATTGGATAATTGGTTGACGTTATACTCTAACCAAGCTTTGATCAAATTTATGACATCACTCGTTTTGAAATGTTTAAAGGTGGGGGGACATGAAAGAAAAAATGTCCTCGAAATTCCGTTCAAAGATGCCCCTCGAGGAGTTGAACTTGTGAGGGCGATGATTGAGGGTGCGGCGCCGCTACCGACTGAGCCACGCGGGCAAAGAAAAAGCGCACGCCCGATTGCATACATAAAGGCGAGGACGACCGCTGTACGCAGAGTGACATTAAGCGTTGTACACCGTGACGGTAGAATGCATACTCTAGCTACAAAAAAACTACGAAAAATCTCCTGTCCCCCCACCTTTAAATTTAGAAGAAGTTTAATTTTTAGAAGAAAAATATTTTCAAAAATGTTTTTTAAATATTTTGAGATAATTTAAATGTTGAGTACATTCCTGAAAAAAACTATAACACCGTTTGATTTTTCTGCATATTCGAGTTATCGAATTTTTTATATCTCTCATGGGAACAGAGATAGTTGAGCTCAAATTGTGCATACGGGGTGGGCTTCTATTAGAGAATTTACCGTTTATAATTTTTTCTACAAATTTGAATTGAAACACTTCTTGCCACTATGGGAACTTCTCAAAAAAGGCTTCAATCCATCAAATAGTTAAGATTATATTTCTGAACCATTCTATTTTTTTCTCAACTGAAGCACCCTCATCTCCAAGTTGATCCCTTCTCATAATTCCGATCGCTAACGTCGACTCGAATCACATTCTAAGCTCAATTCTACCTCCAATTACCTCATAAAATGCTCCCTAATAACCCCGCGAACCTGTTCCAAATCATAACTTTCGCTTTCCTACCCAAGCGTCGGACCTACCCACCCATCCCTTCCCAACGGATCCACAAAACCGGAGCTAACTCTATTTTGTCGAATTGATGATCGTCGAACAAGAAAGGATATAGGGGGATGGAAAGAGGACACAAAAAGTAGTAAAACAAGGAAAAGTGAGTCTTCGCTCTTCTAAATCACTTCTTTCTCTTTACGGCGAAAAAGGGAGTGTAATAGTAATTATTCGAGCACATACACAAAGAAGGGAGAGCCCCACCCTTCGCCCCCCTCGTAAACTTTTTTTGCTCCATCCCTTCTTTTTTCTCTCTCTCTCTCTCTCTCTCTCTCTCACCTTGTTTTTCAAATGTCTGTCTGTGTGTCTGTCCGGCCTACCTTTGGGGAGCCAATCCCTCTCTCAGCACAACATATCCATGTTTGCTCTAGCCCTCTTCATTCTGCGTCTCCTATCTTCTGGCACTGGGATCCAATGGTCCCTAAGCAAAAGAAGCGTGTGAAATGAAAACGGAGGGGTGGGGGGAGCCACGGGGACCCACGGAGAGGGAGAAGAGGCAGAAAAAAGGGAGGAGAGCGGGTCCCCCTCTTCCCCTTCTATTCCTTTCCTTATTTTCTCATTCTAACAGCCCCAAAAGCAGCGGCGGGCGGCAACAGAAGCACAGCAGCAACAAACCATCAAAAAGTTCTCGTGGCCCCGCCCACTTTATCTCTCTGTGCTGCTCCTCCATACTTGGGCCTCCCATTCTCTCCACAAAGAAATCTCTAAAGTCCCAAAACACCATCCGTCCCACCAGCCTCTCTCTATTCACTTTCTATATTATTAACTATGTGACTATATTTCAAAAGCACGGACCATCATCCATAGTCTCATAAATTTTGCAAAATGCACGTTCGATATTTGCAGCACGAACACACGGGCACTGTCCAACTTCTCCTTATGCCTCTCTCCACAGCGGCGTCTTTTAAGAGTGCCAAGTGGTAAGTTTTTGACTTTAAAAATATTATATTCAGTTTGGAAAACCAGAAAATTATTGCCGCCGTCAACCTACCTTTGAGAACTGAACAACGCCTTAATGCTCCCAAAAAACGGGGTTTTTGTAGTCTCATGACCTCAATTTTCGATAATATCAAAATTAAAATAAACGGGCATCATCTCGCTGTTATTTTGGATTTTCTGTAAGAATTTGGGAAATTTTGGTCCATTGGTGACTGCGCTAGGGTCCGCGAACCGGGAACACCGGACACACACACACACACACACCACATGGTACCAAGCTTTAAAAAAGTCCTATTTCATTTTTTGCTCAATGTCCGTGTTTTGAGCAAAAAATGATTTTTAGCTCAATGTCCGTGTTTGGTCCAATTCAGATATGTTCAAGAAAGTTAGGGTGCCCTTCTATTGCAGGGTTTTTTGGAAGTTTTCGAAAAATTCCATCCTCCAATTTTGACACATTTTTATCGCCTTCTTCTTTTTGCCTTGCCTACACCAATTTCAAAAGAGCAAAGATATCAAATTTCGGCCTGAAAATTGAAATGTGTCTCTTTTTCTCTCTGTCCCGACACCAGCAAAAAAATCCATCGCCCAATTTGACACCATTGTTCCCTAGCTTTTTTCTGTTTTTTGCACTTTTCTTTGGGAGAAGAATGAACAAAAAAAATGATGAGCAAAAATGGATGGGACGACAAAAAAGTGTTAGAAAAAGGAAAAAGGAAAAAATGTGGAATTTAATATACATACTTTTATGTGTGTGTGTGTGTATTCTCGCCGCTGCTAGCCAGAAATTGACAGGAATTTTTGCATACATTAAATGATTGGAGGTGGTGGTGGTGACAAAAAGCAACAGCAAAAAAATGGGTTTTTGAACTTATCCAGAGTCAATGGGACCAAAAAAGACCAAAAAAGCGTCTCACCTTTGATCTAATTTATCTTGGTTCCTGTGAAAGATATCAAAAACTTGTAAACTGATAAAGTGTTGGTGATATTATGATAAACAATTTATCAGTTGATCATTTTTTGATATCTTTTAGAAGAACCGAGATAATTGAGCTCAAAATGCACGTGGGCTTCTATTTGAGCGTTTATGGGCTCCAACTTTTATCAAAAGTAACTTGGTTCCTATGAGAGGTATCAAGAAGTGCTTAACTGATAGAATGTTTATCATAATATCAGGACTATTTTAGCAGTTGACTGCTTTTTGATATCCCATGAGTTTAAATAAACAATTTATCTTTTCCAGGACCGAGGAGGAAGGCGAAGGAGAGTGCGACTCGGTCCCGCTGCCAATACAGACGTTTCTTTGGAGACAGACAAAGTAAGCAGCTTCTAGAATTTCAAAAAATAATTCTTTGAAAATTTGCAGTCCCTTTCTGGGCGACAAAATCGGAAAACTTCACGAGGCGTCTTGTGTGGTAAGTTGATCAGTTTTGAAAATCTGAAAAGGTCGCAAATCATAAAAAAAAAGTATTCTAGATAATTTTAGAGAACCCCATAGGAGGATTTGGACTTAGTGAGAATCTTTCTTACTGAGAATTTTTCTTGGTGAGGAACTCTCTTAATAATAACTTTTCCTAACAAGGAGCTTTCTTCATAAGGACTATTCTTAGTGAGAATCGTTCTTAGTGGGAATCTTTCTTAGTGAGAATATTTCTTAGTGAGAATCTTACTTAGTGAGAATCTTAATTAGTGAGAATCTTAATTAGTGAGAATCTTTATCAGAGAGAATCCTTCTCAATGAGAATATTTTTTAGTGAGTATCTATCTTAATAAAGTTCCTAATAAGAATTTTATTCCCCAAACTGTCCCTCAAACCTTTTTGCTGTCTCACCTCCTTTAATGAGGATCTTTCTTAATGAGATTCGTTCTAAGTGAGAATCTTTTTTAGTAAGAATTTTTGTTAGTGAGGATATCTCCTAATAAGTTCTCTCAACTCCTTTAAATTTGAAAAATTTGCTCTCCCTGTTAGAATTCCCATTCTTCTTTCATAAGGAATCAAAAAAAAAAAAAACTTTCTTATGACTTCATATTTTTCCAGTAAACCCAGCTAGAAAACTAAACAAGTCAGCGGGCACTACCACCACTAAAATTTTATATAATCCCATCTCAAAACTCGACGCCTTTCTTTTTTGCTGGTTTGCTCATTTTTTGTTCTTTACTTTCTTCTTCTACCACCACCACTTGCTTCTCCTCACTCTCTCTCTCTCTCTCTCTCTCTTTTCAAGCCTTATCCCCATCAAATTTGTCCCTTGGGCAATGTTTTAAGCTCCATGTTTTCTTGCCTCCTACAACCACCACTAAAATGTATGCTCTTTTTTGGAATGAGTCAGAAAAAGAGGAGAGGCGGAGGAGAAGGGGGAATAAAATCATGTCAAGCGGAAATACTTCAAGTGGAAGATTGAAGAAATCGAGGGTTGTTGGTATAGATGGAAGTGGTGAAATTCCACTGGAATGGAAAATGAAACGACAATTCTTTTTGCTTGGGCTTTTGAGCTCTAGGAAGAGAATACACCATATTTTCAGACATTCGAACGGGTCGTCGTCCAAAACATCCTCCATGGATTATCACCTTCTCTCAGCAATGCACTTGCTAGTGTTTCTAGATGGAAATTGGTTCGAGCAGCTTTGCCACACGTCATACAGTGTTGTGGTTCACTATTATCTGCAAATGTTGGAGAAAAGAAGCTGCCGACGTCGTTACAGAAGATACTTTATATTCTGCACTGGATGTTGATCGATTCATCAGCAGAGTGTATCGAGAGTACTAGTACGAAGGTGAGTGGAAGCTTACCCAAAACTTTGAGCCAATTTATCTTGGTTCCTATGAGAGATATGAAAAAGTTGTCAACTAATGGATTATTTATCATATAACCTACAATATTTTATCAGTTGACACTTTTTTGATAACTTGCATAGGAGCCGAGATAAGCGAGCTCAAAGTGTCCAACTCGTTTTATTTCCTAATTTTTAGAACTGAAAAGGATTTTCAAAAAATAGAGGAGAATTCCTGGAAACGGAACGTAAAACATTAAAAAAATAGGTCACGATCTAGACTTTTGTAAGGTCAGAACCCAATTTTTTCTAGGTCATGACCTATAAAAAATTAGATCATGACCTAGAAATATCTAGGTCATGACCTAGAAAAAAAGTAGGTCATGACCTAGAAAAATAGGCCATAACCTAGAAAAAAAGTAGGTCATGACCTAGAAAAAAAGTAGGTCATGACATAGAAAAAAGTAGGTCGTGAACTATTTTTTCAGATTTTTCACGTTCAGTTTGCATAAACTCTGCTTAATTTTTTGAAAATCCTTCTCAGTTCCGAATAAAAAATTACTTGAACACTTTGAACTCAATTATCTCGATTGCTGGGAAAGATATCAAAAAGTGGTCAACTGACAAAATGTTACACCTGAAATTAGCAACATTTTATTAGTTAACAGATTCTTGATATCTCTCATAGGAACCGAGATAATTGAGTTCAAAGTACACATGCTTCTATTAAGGCCAGTACGGTAGGAAGGTTGTAACCTGACCATTACATTTCCAGGAGATATATAAGCTCAAAGTTAACGATCTCAATGTCACTCTATTTGAGTTTTTACGGTGTACCTATTCTATCATCTCTTAAAACTTTCAGGACGATCCAATCCCGACACAATCGCGTACACTAGGTCTCTTCAATATCTCCACAATCCAACTCTTCATTTATCTCATCGCCCCACTGGCCGACGTCATAACAGAAGAAGAGGTCGTGGACAACATTCGCCTGGAGTCGGGGCTTAAAATCTGGCAAGCCATTTGGCAATTCCGTCAACCCGACATTTGGTGCTTCTCGGCGCCCGTAAAACAACGGCGTGACGAGCTGCCGCAGATTACGTTTGCCCGGAGGCACAACCCGACGCAATCCGAAAACCAGGGAATCTACTTGGGAAAGGATGAAAACGCGGCGAGGCGTCCTAGCATTGTACCACCCCCGAAACCGCCAAGAACGGATGCGGCAGTGTTGCACGAGAAGAGGAAATTGGAGGAGGAGAAGCTGAAAGCCACAAAAAAGGATTTTGTCTCAATTGAAATTGAACAACCGGAGAAACCGGCTCATTTACTGATCGATATGACACCGAAGGGGTTTGAAAGGACGTCTTCAATTGTTAGAAGTGTTAGTGAATACAAGACAAACCTCTGTGGACAGAAGCAACCCAAAACGATAAGCAGAAGTCAGACTAGTGATGCTTTTGACGTTAGCCCAAGTGAGTCTTTGTTTTCAAAAGTTTTAGATTTAGATTATCTGTAAAGCCAAGCTGTCCACTTCAAGCTCCATTACCTCGATTCGTATAAAATACATCGAAAATTTGTCAACTGACATATTTTTCATAAATCTTCTAGAAATCAAGATAATTGAGCTCAAAGTGCAAGTATAGAGTAGCCTTCTATTTTCTATAGAAGGTACTGTATAAATATATATTTGCTCCTTTTTAGCCTCCGATTCCTCCGCGAAAATGTTGGAAGAAGTCGATGAGATCAAATTCGCCGAAAACGAGAACTGCTCCCTATCAGCTGTATTCTTCTCCGCTGATCAAGCCCCTTTAGTGAACTTGTCTGATATTTGTAGTGGTTTCTCATTGGAAGGAAACGGATCAAATGGACCAACAACAGAACCAACCACAAAAACCACGTTATACGATCTGGAGCAGCCGAGTACATCAGGAAGTCCGCCTAGAATACCGGAAAGTTCAATGTATCTGTCGTGTACATCTTCTTCATCCGATGTTCCCCCTTTTGTGTTGACCAGAGGTTTGTTGGTAACTTTTGGGGGTTTCAAGCATCACATTTTCAGCATCCACGACAGAGGAGACCGGATCTTCATGCTCCCAACAGACAATGATACCTGCCGTCGCAGTACCTTCCACCTCGACACCTGTAATCAATCAGACAACACTGACACCAATTATGAAAACAAACGAAAACAGACGGACCGATCACCAAAGGAGTAAGTTTTATCTCTTATCAGTTAGCTTATCAGTTAGAATTTTTCAGTGCCAGCCTCACAAAAATCCATCTCCGGAAGTACGGACGACGAACTGGATGAGACAGCGTTCGCAGATCCAACCATAGCATCCTACCTAGACGTGGCTGTCATTCGCGCTCTATTGATAACTCATTGGCAGGAGAAAGGAGTCTATTGGGCGTTGAGTTATATACACAACCGATTGATCGAGATCAAGGCCTATATGATTGTGAGGAAAGGTGCAAGACAGCGGAGTAACTCGTTGCCGAGTGGAGAACGGAAGCTATCAGTTGCCCCTGATCAGTTTACGAATCCGGTCTGGGATGATTTGAAGATCGAGAATAAAGAGGAAGGAAGAGCACATTTGCATGTGGCTTTTAATGATATCGAGAGGAGGAAATCTTCTGATAATTGTGAGTCATCATACTGAACTTAAAACTGACCCTTCCACTTCCAGGTCTGGCTCCCCATCCAACTTCGAACTCTCGTCGAAGCTCTCTGAACACCCTATCCCGTCGCGGAGCCAACAGGTCCAACCCCTCACTGAACAACTCGATAGAAGTGCTTTCCATTCGTGACGACGCTGAAGACGATATCTCCAACATTTCTTCAAAATCCATCGAGAAGGAGAACTCGAAAATCAACGCTGTCTACTTTCCCGAGGCGTTGGGAAGTACAAATTTCATCGAGAAGGATGGGAAGATATCGGCAACTGTGATAGTGCAAACTGTGAATCAAGTAATGGATCGGTGCACCGGAGTGAGGCAGTGTGAGCTGGCACTGAACATAGCTGATGTCCTACTTGGAACCCCGCTGGAGCAGACTGAAACGTTTTTTGTGCAATTGAATATTATGGTGTTCAAGTGAGTGGTTTCCTCCAGAAAAATAGAAATTAACGTCATTTTCAGAATCTATCTTGTTCTTGGCTGTCCACATGGTTGTAATGAAGGCGTCAAGTCGCCCCATGGAGACTTTCTGCGTGCCAAGGCGAAAGCCATCCTGGCTGGTCTAGAGCGTGTCCAACCGGAAAAGTTCAAGAACATCCTGAACGACTATGTGGATACTTATGGAACCCAGCAAGTGATAGATCTGCTGCACTCAATTACGGCGTTCTGTCGATCGGAACTAACTCGTAAGTTTTTTCGAGCAAATACTTCAAAACCTGTAGTAATACAACGGCCCTCTCTAAACTTTTAGCTAATTTATCTGGGTTCCTGTGAAAGATGACAAAAAGTTGTCAACTGATAAAATGCTTATCATGATATCGCAAACATTTTATCAGTTGACACATTTTTGACATCTCTTATGGGAGCAGAGATAATTGAGCTTGAATTTGACAGTGTGAGGGCACATGTCTTACGGTATTGAAAAACCAATTTTAGCATCTGATGGCCGCCGAACATCTGAAAGTCGTGTACCCTCTTATCGTAACACATTTAACGAAAAAGATAAAGGCATCGAGGGACGGATTATCAATGCCACGTATAAGACACTGATAACGAAGATATCAGCTATCAGTGCAGAGTTGTCGCTTCCAGAGAATATGGTAAGGGGCCCTCAACTTTGAGCCAATTTATCTCACTCCTTGTCAAAGATGTCAAAAATTTGTCAACTGATAAATTGTTTATCATGATATAGGAAACATTTTATCAGTTGACAAAATTTTGATATCTCGCTGAAAAACCGAAATTGAGCTCAAACTTAGCTGATTTTGAGGCTAATTAATTTTTCAAATTATTTCAGAGTCTCCAACAAGACGTCCGAATGTTAGTGAACTTTGTTCAGGAGCATCATGGGAACCCTTTCCGTAGAGTTGGCTTGTCAGCTCTGAAAGATGCTACCGCGAAAATTCCAACTATTGGGTGAGTCTTTGTCAGGTAAAAGTACATAGATGCAGATCGAGATGTTTCCCATATTTAGAGGCTCACATGTACGTTCACTTTGACCAAATTTATCTCAGTTCCTGTAAAAGATATCAAAAATTTGTCAATTGATAAACTATTTTTGATATGATAATTAACATTTTATCAGTTGACCACTTTTCGATATCTGTTGAAGCAACCGAGATAAAATGGCTCAAAGTTGAAAGATATTTCTGGAACCCAAATTTCCAACTATCCATTTATCACAATGATTGAATTGATTTATGACTATCCACACACGAACTTTTTTTCTCTGTCCACACATCTATCCAAAACATTTCAACCTCTTAGCATAACGATTACTTCTTCTTCTACTTCTACTCATCATCATCATCCTCCATCTTCCTTTACACCGCCCGTCCAGTCTTCATCATCGTCACCACCACGACGAAAACAGCCACGTCGTCACAAGACTTCTGTGGTCCGAACGCAGTCTTCCAAGTCACCAAAATCCGCGGTTCGACTGATGATTCCGCACATCTCACTGACTAGAACCGAGTAATTTTTGAAAATGGATAAAAAACATCGCCTGGATGAAGACAACTCCCTGCATGATTTATCCCCTGGGTGGTCCCCAAGAATGTGACCACCCAAAAACCTCTGAAATCTCTTTCCATTTTAATTTTCCATTTTTTGCACCAGTTTTTGCACTAATTTCTGCACTTCTTTTTGCCATTTTGTCACAGGGGTGTAAATTAACTTACTTGCTCTACTACACTTACACTTTAAGCTTAATTATCTCGGTCCCTTTAAGAGATATCAAAATTTTGTCAACTGTTAAAATGCTTATCATATCATCATCATTATTTTATCAGTTGGCACATTTTTGATAGCTCTTATAGGAACTGAGATAATTGAGCTCAAAGTACAGTATGCCTAATTTACACCCCTGTGGTTCTTTGCACTCTTTTTGCACGCATCTACATATCTCCTCAAAAGCCTCCCCCCTAAGAATAATCAGTTATCACACTCTTATCTATCCTAAGTTTCAAAAGCTACGCCTTCCAAAAATTTACTTCTCTGCCAACCCAATGTTTTTCAGTGAATCCCAAAAAGAAGATCTGAATGGAAGTCCAGGAGCATCATCCCAGAAACAAGGACCTAACGATCAAGCGTCCCTCAGAAGAGGACTGTTCAAGAAGAAGGAGAAGTCGGGTGGGACGACTACAGGAAACGATGATTCAGAAGGTGATAGCTCACCATCCACACCACGAACAGTGTCTTCTATGGATGATGGGGTGTCACCTTTGGCGAACACCTATTATAAGAAGAAGAGTGCACCAAAGTTGCATTTCGCATTTGGATTATTGAAAAGTGTCAAACCGGATATGGATGAAGAAACGTCGGATAATGAGAATGAGGAAGGCACTTCTCAAGATTCCGAAATGCCTATGAGAAGACCTTTAAGGCAAAGTTCCAAACAAGTGAAGGCTCGACTCCCCATCGATGGTAAAGGTGGAATGCGGTTATGGGGTACGTATGTCCCGCCACCCACCTATATTGATGTCAAAGGTATTTTCGATGGGGCTCGTCGATTCGCTTTTTTATTGGAGACCGCGAGGCCTGGGACGTTTCCGGATGCACCGTTGATTGCTGCTATCATGCACTTGGTATGTTTTTTTTACTTTGAATTCATTTACAGTAAACTTTGAACCCATACATCTCATTTGCTGTAAAAGATATCAAAAAGTGGTCAACTGATAAAATGTTTCTGATATTATGATAAACATTTTGTTGGTCAATTACTTTTTGGTGTCTTTTACAAAAAAATGAGATAAATGAGCTCAAAGTAGTGCGGTTTTTTGGTCCCATTGCACAGCATTGCTCTAGTAGGATGACTCTGAAGCTATCAACTTGAAGACCATATATCTCATTTTCTGTGAAAGATAGCAAAAAAGTGACCAACTGACAAAATGTTGATCATAATGCCAGAATTATTTTATCAGTTGTAAAAATTTTATTATCTCCCATGGGAGCCGAAATAATCCTGCTCAAACTTGCCGTTTTGTGTGGTACCCTATTCACGATAAAGGAGATTACGCCCCTCCTGAGCTCAACCTCCTGGCCTCCGGTTCCAGTTCCCGTTATCTCAGTTTCCGCAATCCCTCCTTGCCCTCCACCCTTCATTGTGGGAAAACCAAGGAACGTCTCCAGAGGACTTCAAAATCAAAATTTCGAAAAATTAAAACTTGGGGCTTCAACTAAAACACATTTCTGGTCTCTATGCCCAGGTTTCAGCTTGATCGGTTAACTTTGAATGGGTGATAAGACGCGCTACATACATACTGTTGCATTCTATGCATACTTCCATTAGTTTTATATTTGATCTACCAAATTATTTGTGATCTAGCTGGGGGGGGGGGGGGGGGCTGACAACCATTCTCGGTCTGTCCTAGTCTCTCTCAGCCTTCTCTACTTTTCCATCTCTATTCTCGTACATCTTTAGTACTTGAATAAATCTGTATTCTATAACTACTATTCGTATTCCTTGAGCCGGCCAGAATGCCGGATCCTAAGGACGTAACACATACGCGCATTTAGAATCTGGTGAATGTTATTAGTAATGATGAGCTTCTTTTTTTCAGAAATCCCCTGTCCTCGCGAGAGCTGCTCTTCTCCTAGAATGCTCCAATTTTGTCTCAAGATGCAACCGTGGTCAATGGCCTGAATGGATCAGATCCTCCCATCACAGAACCTTCAGTCTCGGTGGAGCACTTGCCAATCGGGGCACACCATCAGCCACCAGAAGAATGCATAGCCTCCAGAGGCAAGCAGGGCGGTATTTTTATCAGTGGGGAATTCAAATTGGAGAGCATCTAGCGAAAATGTTGGATCAATCGGAGAAGAAAAATCGAAAGGTTCTACAAATGGAAGACGCCATAGAAGACTTTTTCGATGATGGAATCATGAATGATCAGACTGGAGAGAAGTGTCCAACTGCTCTTCAGTTTATTGCCGTATTGTTGTTACAAGAAATCACTGCATTTCTCAGAGAGACTTTTAAAACAATTCCTCGATCAAAAAACTCGAAACCACAAACTGGAAACTCGGGTTGGGATAAGTTGTTGAGTCATCGGAGATGGTCGATTCTCTCGAACACATTCAACGCCCAGCAGACAGGATCAGTGAACAGTATCACGGAAATCAACTCATCTATTCATTGTAAGTTTTGAAATATTCGGAAATTAAGAAATTCAGAAATTCAGCAGTTCAGAAATTCAGAAACTCGGGAATTAAGAAATTCAGAAGTTCCGAAATTCAGAAATTCAGATATTCAGAAATTCAGAAATTCGGAAATTCAGAAATTCAGAAATTCAGAAATTCAGAAATTCAGAAATTCAGAAACACGGGAATTAAGAAATTCAGAAGTTCAGAAATTTAGAAATTCAGCAATTCAGCAATTCAGACATTCAGAAATTCAGAAATTCAGAAATTCAGAAATTCAGAAATTCAGAAATTCAGAAATCCAGAAATTCGGAAATTCAAAAATTCGGAAATTCAGAAATTCAGAAATTTAGAAATTCTGAAATTCAGAAATTCAGAAATTCAGAAATTCAGAAATTCAGAAATTCAGAAATTCAGAAACACGGGAATTAAGAAATTCAGAAGTTCAGAAATTTAGAAATTCAGCAATTCAGCAATTCAGACATTCAGAAATTCAGAAATTCAGAAATTCAGAAATTCAGAAATTCAGAAATTCAGAAATCCAGAAATTCGGAAATTCAAAAATTCGGAAATTCAGAAATTCAGAAATTCAGAAATTTAGAAATTCTGAAATTCTGAAATGTTTTTAAAATTTCAGTAAACGACAAAGAGCGTCGTATCAGTCTATCAGCTGCCGAGGAAGACTCACCACGTGGATCCAAAGATGCTATAGACGAAATCAACGCGGTTGATAAAAAAGGTGAGTCTTTTCCGACTTAAGAGTTTTTTTGGCATTTTATAACCTCCCGTTTTTTATTGACATTTGGCTTTGCTTCCAAGGGTGGGCTTTTTGACTTTAAATTTCAGGAAAAGTTTTAGACTCTAACCTTATATCATATATCCCTAAGGTTCTGTACACATTGCGCCCATGTCAGTAGTACGTCCACCATCCCTATCAGCTCGTCTGTTTTCTCGTCAGTCGACACATGAAGAATCGGGAGGTTCGGCTCAAGGATCCACGAAATCGACGACTTATGTACCCGAAACAGGTCCGCAATGCACATTAAAAGCACCGAAATGCACTGCACCGACTTCTTCTGCACCTTCTCTTCTTCTTCTACTTCTGAACTATACCAATTTTCGGTTGTGAATGCTTGTATTTGTGAATTCTGTTTTTGACGTCTCTCTTTCTCACTTTTTCTTGCACCAACCACTCCATCATCAAATACCGTAATTGCTCTAAAAGACGCCCATCGCTATATGTGCAATTTGAGTGGTTCCTTCAGAAGATATAAAAATTTTGTCAACTGATAAAGTGTTTATTATAATATCATTAAAATTTTATCAGTTGACAGACTTTTGATATCAGTTACAGGAACTTAAATAATTGAGCTGAAAGGCAAGTCTAGGGTGGCGTTAAAAAAGACGCCCACTCTACCCGTCTACTTTGAGGCCATATATCTCATTTCCTGTAAAAGATATCAAAAAATGTTATACTGATAAAATTTGTGCCCTAAAATGTTAAACAATTTATCAGTTGACAGATTCTTGATATATCTCATAGGAACCGAGATAATTGAGCTCAAAGGTAACGGGGCTTCTTTAGAGCAAATACGGTAGGAGGGTCGCGACCTTCCCACTTCCCACTTGTCCCGTTCTAGCATGACCAATGTAATTTTAGGCCGTCGAATCGCTACCGGCCGCCAACGTCTTCTGAAACGTGGCTCTCCAATGACAGCTGGCGCACAACCATCCCTGGAATCATCCCACAAACGCAAGTCCTTTCGAAACCGGAAACAATCTAAACAAGCTCATAGGAAGAGGAGGAGAAATCTGATGGAGGTAGGATTTTTTGAATTTCAGGTTTAAAATTTCCCAAGCTAAAAAACAGGAAGCCTTACGTCTTCCCAACAATCACCCATCATCCATCGGATGCGGGCATCTAGTATGCGTGCCTCTTCAAACTTGTTGGCATTGTTTCATCATGCTATTCCAGATTTTTTGGACGGTAAAATGGAAAATTATATTGTGATCGAGTACTTAGATGTGTAACCCGTTGGTAATCCTTACAGTAATCCCTTGACGATCTAAGCAACCGTCTTTTGTTGATGCTATAAAATATAACGAACGAGATCCTTCATCCCTCCACTCATCTCTCGACTATCAAAAAACCATATACCGTACCCAATATTCCAATACCCAATAACCCAATATTCTACCCAATATTCAATACCTACAGTAACCACCTTATTCCCTCAAACTCCCACAAACTCCAACTTTCCTTATCTAATCTAATATCCTTTCAATTTTCCAGCCGGCGCCACCCACATCCTGTCCGCTCGAGAATCTCTGAAACCAACAGATGATGGTCTTCAGTCTCCAATTGAATCCGTCCACCCCACCATCGTCCCACACTCCAACCATGGAAGTGCACATTCCCAACAACCCGTTGCTCTAAAGTCTTCAATGGATGATGAGGAGCAGCACATGCTTTCCAATCTTCCATGGATCAAGGTCCTTATCAAATTTTCCAACTCTTTCGATTTGGACTGTACACATGTTGGAGCATGCACTGCAAAGTGTTTTCAAAGGGTTCATAGACAATGCTTTCGAATGATCGAAGCGCTTTCGACAGTTTATGGGGTTGAGAGGTGAGCCCTATACCCTACACTTGAACTTTGATTTCAATTATCTCAGTTCCTATGCAAGATATCAAAAAGTTGTCAACTGATAAATTGTTTACCATAATATCACCAATATTATATCAGTTGACAATTTTTTGATATCTTTCACAGAAATCGAGGTAATTGAGCGCGAAGTGCAAGGTGTCCTAGAGGGTGTACGGTACCTTAAATTGGGAAATTTCAGAAATGTGTCAACTAGAATCGACAAGAGGAAACTTCTAGCAGATGATTGGCAGTCCAAACAGCAAGCATTGAGAAGAGTGAGTTTTTTGATTTATTAGCATTAGATTAATATTTTTCAAATTTTGAAAAAAATCTGTCTTAACTACCGTAATACCGTAAATGCTTTAATAGACCCCACCCTAGACGTTGAGCTTTGAGCTAATTTATCTCAATTCCTATAAATGATATCAAATTTTTGTCAACTGATAAAATGTTGTTGATAATATGAGAAATAATTTATCAGTTGACAACTTTTTTATATCTCAAACAGGAGCTGAGATAATTGAGCTCAAACGGCAAGACTAAGGTGGCGTCCTATCACAGCCTTTATGGCTATTCTTTTAAGCTCAATTATCTCGGTTTATCTAAAAGATATCAAAATGTGGCTAACTGATTAAATGTTGATAATTTTACGAAGAACGTTTTATGAGTTGACGAAATTCCCATATCTTTTCATGGAACCGAGATAATTGGACTCAAAGTTATGGTCCTCTATTCTAATAAAACAATTTAAGCAAACCGAAACGAGTTCGGCACGAGCGGTAAGTTTCAGAGACATGTAACTTTATCCACCTCTATTTTGTATTCATAATCCACCCAATACAATCGTAAACTCATCGTATTTTCTCACTATACCCACTTCTCTCTACTATTGCTCTCACCCAAAATGTTCGCATTTTGCGCCTCAGTCTTCATACCTAATAGTTTCTTTGAATGAGGGCTTCTGGAATTTTTAACTAGAATTCCAGAAGTTTCCATTCGACTTCTTCAAACCCAACCTATTATAAATCATTCCAGAGTATCCATGCACGTCAATCTACAGCAGTTCCACGAAGAGAGTCCGCTATGGTTGGACAGCCAGAGTTTGCTAGCAAGGCTATCAAGATGATGTTGATGGAGAAGATGCAACAGGAGAAGGAGAAAGAGAAAGAGAAGGAGAAGGAGGAGAAAGACGCGCTAAAAAAACAATCCGTGGAACAAGACAGGCATTCAGAAGACACAGAAGAAGATGTGACAGCACCGGAAAAGAATAAGCAAATGCTGAACTACCTGAGATCGTTGGTACTCCAACTGGTCCATTCTCCAGTGTCATCTGTTTTGAAATGTACTCTTCTGCTGAATGTAGAGCAGCACAAACAAATGATTGGAGTCTCCTGGAAGATGTTAACCCATGAGGATCCGCACGTGGTAGCTGCCGCCGCATCCATGTTCATAGTAGCCAGTGTGAAGAAGTCCGAAGATGCGTTGGTTATGATTCGTGGCGCTCTAGAATCCCCAGAACCACAGGAGAGGACTAGCGGCATTCAACGATTCTATACACTATGGAGGAATCGATATCACGCGTGGCTTAAAATGGAGGACGGTGCGCAAGCTTCATTCAAAGTGCCCCCTCCAGGAATCGACTTCACTCTGCCGTCTCCACCTATTGGACAGACCCAGTTACCAGTAGTAGATCCACCCTGGATGCCTCATTTGAAGACTAAAATTGAGGAGTTATCATTGAAGGAAGAAGAACATGCGACATCTCAGACAATCATGACCATGACCAGAACAAGAAGAAAGCAAAAGCAGGAGATGGTAAAACGGGCGGTTCGGGAGGCCGAAGAACGGCAGTGTGAGCAAAGGCAGCTTTTTCGTTTGAGAAGTGCTTCGATAGTGTCATGTGCTGCGTATGAGCCAGCACTTTTTCATCACCAACAGGAGACCACTGAAGGTAATCAGATGCACTCCCTTTACGTACCCTTTAAGCTCAATTATCTCGGTTCCTATGAGAGATATCAAAATGTTGTCAACTAACAAAGTATTGGTGATGTTATGATAATTAGATTATCAGTTGACCCCTTTCTGATATCTTTTAAAGGAACCGAGATACTTGAGTTCAAAACTTTACTATTAACAAACACCAAATTCTGTGTCGCCGACCCTAGCAAAGTCGCCAATGGTCCAAAATATCTCAAAATTTCACAGATAATACGCAATAGCAGCGGGATGATGCCCGTTTATTTTGATTTTGATAATATCGAAAATTGAGGTCATGAGACTACAAAAAAAAATTGAGGTCATGAGACTACTGAGGTCATGAGACTACATTTTTCTATTCTTAATGGTAGGTTAACAAGTTCATGAATAAATTCACACCACCTGGTGACGGCAATAATCTTCTGGTATACATTCTTTTTTCAGAATCCGAGAACGTCCACCAACATACTCGCCACGTGATGCCAGTAGCCCAACCCTTGTTCCCATCCGCTCTTCTATCCGTTGTCCCTCAAATCATCGAACTTCTCGACGACCCTCAAGTCGACAACAATGGAGTTTCTGTTGGTGATGTGGCGAAGAAAGTCATCTGGACATGCATTGTAGAAGAGCCACAACTGTTCTTAAGACACTTTCTCGAGAAGCTCACTAATCGAGATCGTCAGGTTAGTAGGGTTACTGTAGTATTGATTTTTTGTGTTCCTTTAGTATTGCAGTTCTAGTTAAAACAATCTCAAATTTAGCTTCTCTTCTTGTGTTCCCTTTAGACCCTCCGTCTCCCCCGTTTCAGGTCCTCACCAACGAATTTACACCTACTCCCGCCTATGTAAGTTGCAGACAAGCCAAGGGTCCTTTTGATGGCATGAGAATCTGAAATAAAGCATGAAAACGTCTTTTTTTTAAAAAACTCACTCACAACCATGTTCCAAAACGCCCAACTAACCCATATCACCTTTTATGTTAAAGTTTTTAAATTTGCCTGTTTTACAATACTAACACGCCTTAAGCACTTTGAGCTCAGTTATCTCGGCTCTTTTGAAAGATGTCAAAATTTTGTCAACTGATAAATTGTTTATCATAATATCATTAACATTTTATCAGTTGACAAATTTTTTATATCTTTCATGGCAACCGAGATAATTGAGCTCGAGTGAGGTGACTTACTATTCGAGCACTAACGGTTTTTTAACTTGTCTGCATTGAATCATATTTGGAGCATGATAAAATTACGTATTCTTCAGGAGGTTCTGATGTCTCAACTAAGGAAATTGGTCCTCAGATTTCATCCACTTCCAAGTCAAGCAGCGCATTCTCTACTGAATTATCTGGTAAGTTTGACACACCACGAAACCTGTAATGGAAGGGTCCCTAACTTTGAACCAGTTTATCTTGATTTCTATGAAAGATATCAAATTTTTGTCAACTGATAAAATGTTTACCATAATATCAGTAACAATTTATCAGTTGACAAATTTCTGATATCTCTAATAGGAAGCGAGATAATTGAGCTGCTCAAAGTAAGCGTATAGGGTGGGTTTCTATTGGAGTATATTTCCAGTTCGGTTTCGTTATGCACTACGTCCGTGCTCAATGCGAAGGATCCGAAAAGGCCATCGGAATGGCCCTATCCATCTGTTGGCTCCTATCTCCAAACATCCATGGATTGTATTTCAAGGATCTCAAGCAGACGCTCAAGAAGGAGCAGTGCGATGTAAGTCATATTCTAATAGTTGAAAGACTTTCTTAAATTTCAGCAAGCCCTCATGATAACCGCAAACGTCCCATCTGCCAAGAAAATCATTGTCCATGGTTTGGACAGTGGTTCCGGTGGGATCCCGAGCCAATTTCCAGTTCACGAAGACACCCAATTCCATCAAATTCTGTCTGACAGTCTGGAATTTTTTAACATCGAGGAGGACGACCTGAATAGCTTCTACCTCACCGACACCAAGACTGGCGTGATACATCTTCCAGCGGCTTATGTCAGAGACTATTACTTTTTTCATCGCTCCTTTTATCCGCAACTGACGCTTGTCAGACTGACCCCAGAGGTAGCTGAGAAGAGAATGAAGGATACGGCGTTTCATCAGAGATTCATCGAGTGTGGAAAAGTTTTATTGACACATAACATCCTGAAGTATAGTCCGCAGCATGTGGTAAGTAACTGGGACCTGTTATAGAAGGGCACCAACCTTTGAGCCAGTTAACCGTACTTAAGCATAAGCCTAAAGATGCAGTTAGAGCTCAATTATCTAGGTTCCTATGAGAAACGTCAGAAACTTGTGGACTGATAAAATATTGCTGATATTATGATAAACAATTTACCAATTGCAAATGTTCTGATAATTCTCATAGGAACCGAGATAATTGAGCTCAAAGCTGACGAATCGGGTTGGCTTCTGTTTGAGGAAATATGGTAACTTTGAGCTAATTTATCTCGATTACTGTAAAAGATATCAAAAGTGGGTCAACTGATAAAATTTTTATCACAACATCTTAAACATTTTATCAGTTGAAAATTTTTGATATCTCATATAAGAACCGAGATAAATTGACTTCAGTTGACAGCTAAGGGCTCACAGGTTATATCGAAACTAATTTTTTTAGATTGCCCAACGAGTCTTCTTCCTTCATGACGAATTCACCCACCTACCCTCCTTCCCTCGGAAATCCCTGGAAACCTGCTTCGGGATGTACTTCGGACCAGGAGGCGAACAACTGAAAGCGATGGAGTCCATGCATAAATTCGTGTGGGCCAAACTAATGTCGGATATGTTTGAAAAGATGGAGAACGCGTTCATGTTTGCTGACCTCCATCTCTTTATAAATGTTATCAATGGCATCATGATAATGCATTGTGAAGACGTGCTGATCCTTAGAAGATGTGCAGCCACCTACATCTCCATCTCCATCCATTTCAACACATTATTCGCGTCACAGGGGTTTTTCCTAATCATGCCCACTTTGCTAAGATGTTACAGTCAACGACAAACGAACAAAGTGTTCTGTGGAGTCGTAGAATTCATATGTCGCCAATTTTACACACTTCATAGAAAACCATTTCTCCTCCAAATGTGTGGAGCAATCGCAAATATTATTGACAACTCTTCCAACGACTTTGAGATCAATCCAATGCGAGTCAAGGCCAAGTACTGGTTCAATCTGATTAAGAAAATGGAGGAGATCACTGATGAAGACCCATTGGATATTCTAGGATTGGTACCTTATGAGAAGCCACTTAAGGCGTTGGATCTGTGCTATCGGGATGATCCGAATACGTTTTGTGCGTTGACAGATGCAATGGCGAGTTGTATTTGTGTTTGTGCGTTTGCACCGGAGAGCAAGAGGAGTCATCATATGCTGGTGAGTTTTTGAAAGTTGTGATTTGCAAATTGCCGCTGTGGCTGAGCCGTGGGTCTTGAAAATGCACTAAATGACCTAGAAACTACTAGGGCGGCAAGGCCACTCTAGCCTATCTAAAATGGTGTGACCGGCAGTGATCAACTTTGAGCCCATATATCTCATTTTCTGTAAAAGATATCAATGAGCTGTCAACTGATAAACTATTTATCATAATATCAACAACATTTTATCAGTTAACATATTTTTGGCATCTCTAATAGGAACCGAGATAATTGAGCTCAAAGTTGACGGTGTGGGTGGGCTTCTCTTAGAGGAAGTACGGTGACTTTGAGCCCATGTATCTCATTTTCTGGGAAAGATATCGAAAATTTATAAACTAAAAAATTGTTTATCATAATATCACCAATATTTTATCAGTTAATAGATTTTTGATATCTTATGAGGGAACCGAGATAATTGGGCTCAAGCAGGATGGGCTTCTATTAGACCATTTACGGAGAAAAATCTCAAAATTTTAGATTTTCGTCTAACTAAAGCTAAAAAATATTCTTGATTTTCAGTCAGTTCTTACATTTTTTAAAGTCAAAAATGATGGAAAATTCAATTCTCGGTTCAAACCACCAGAAAATCCAAAATTTCGTGAAAAAAATGACTGAAAGTTCTATATTTGGCTGGAAATGAGAAATTTTTATTAAAAATGAGCGAAGTTTAGCGATTCTTGATGGTTTGCAACTAAAAAACTATGAAAACTTCAAATTTTTGATTGAAAAATGAGCGATTTTCCATTTGGAACCGTTTTGTGCGGCTGGCCGTGGCACAGAGAATGCCCATCAAGCTGTCAAATTTGAGCCCACATATCTCATTTCCTGTTAAAAATATCAATGAGCTGTTAACTGATAAAATATTTATCATAATATCAACAACATTTTATCAGTTAACATATTTTTGATATCTCTTATAGGAACCGAGATAATTGAGCTCAAAGTTGACGGTGTGGGTGGGCTTCTCTTAGAGGAAGTACGGTGACTTTGAGCCCATATATCTCATTTTCTGGGAAAGATATCGAAAATTTATGAACTAAAAAATTGTTTATCATGATATCACCAACATTTTATCAGTTGACAGATTTTCAAAATCTCTTGTAGAAACCAAGATAATTGAGCTAAATCAAATCTAAATATCTTTCCAGCTTATCATGCAAGCAATGCTCCCCCACATGATGAAACGTCTCGAGGAAGAAACTCTAGCTTCTGGAAACTCTCCATCTGCAGTGAAACACGAAATCTCGCAATGGATCACGATGGCAGTAGAAATGAAAGCTCTTATCAATAGCTGTGAACAACTAGTCCGTGGACCAACAAGAGCATTCGACCTAGTTAATAGTGTCTCGGAGAGAGGCAAGAGTTTTGTGGCAGACTCGCCACAATTCTTCGATCCACCAACTACAAACGACGATGAGAATTCGAGACCCTATCATTTGTAAGTGCCCGTTTTCAAAACTACAGTAACCAACTTTTTTCCAGAAAAGAAAAACGCTCCACTGCAGTCGCCTGGGAAGCTGCTGAAGTCGAGGAGCAACAGAAAGAAGCCTATCGTCGTCCCAGAGACACTCTACTTCAACTCATTGCAGTGTACATCGAGACTGCATCAGTTAGGCTGAAAGAGCTCACCAAGCTAGGAGCAAATCTGGAGCACGCTAAGATTCCGGATGTTCTGGACCATAAGTGTTATGTGAAGCTTGGAGAAATTGCCCTGGCACTTTTGAAAGTGGCTCCTTATGATCTAGCAACTACCACGTGTCATGGACTTCAGAAATACTTTCAAACCATTCTCCCCGTGACAGATTGGTCCATTGAATCGAACAGATCCGCGTTGAACATCATCTTGAGAAGACTGGACAAGACAATGTCGAAGATCGCCAAACGACAGAGCTTTCGAAAACGAGCCATCTGGATTGCCTTATCCTCCTGGGTCGTTGGAATCTGTGATACCCTCAATGCCTTTCCATACATTGCCCATCTTCATCCACTAAAGACAATAACTCAGTTATGCCTAAGAATGATGGTAGGAGACCCGTGTACCGAGGATGGGACGTCTTCGACTGCCCTTCATCCAACTACCGTACTCCATCCAACTCCTCCTCCCCAAGTATTCGCGAATTCCGTGCTGAAACTCACTACCATCATGATGCAAGCATTGGGTCAATTCGCCTTCTCTCTGGACTTTGTCACGTCTCCAGAAGGCATGGGTGTCTCTTCGGAGCGTCTTGAAGCAGTCCTATGCCACGTGTTGATTCCACTCTTCCTGAGGATCCCAAACAACCCAAAGGAGCAATCCATCATACAGAGCAAGGACTTGACACAGTGTTTGACAGTGATGCAGAATGCCATATCCCCGCCGCTTGTCAAACAGCCAGCTCCACCACTGATAAGCACTTCAACACTGACAACCACTTTTATCAGAGGGGCACAAGGTAAGGAGTATATGTGGCCTAATCTTTGCAAGCTGGGTTTTCTAGGCCGCCATCGTAAAACTTCCTGGAAATGGCCTAACACAACCCTGGAGTGTTTTCTAGGTCATATTAACATGGTGGCCTAACTTTTGCAAGTTGGGTTTTCTAGGCCACCATGGTAAAATGGCCTGAGAATGACCTCACATCCCTTTGGCGTGTTTTCCAGGTTATTTTGACATGGTTGCCTAACTTTTGCAAATTGGGTTTTCTAGGCCACCACATTAAAATGGTCTATAAATGGTTTAACATGACCCTAGTGTGTATTTTTGGTCATTTTAAGGTGGTGGCCTAACTTTTACAAGTTGGGTTTTCTAGGCCACCATAGCAAAATTTCCAGGAAATGGTCTAACACGACCCTGGAGTATTTTTAGGTCATTTCAAGGTAATGGCCTAACTTTTCCCAGGTAGCGTTTTCTAGGCCACCACGCAGAAATGACCTAGGAAACACACCAGTCATGTTAGGTCATTTCTAGGGGGCAAAAAATGTGGTGGCCTAGGAATCTCGATTTGCAAAAGTTAGGCTACACTGGTCTTACTGTAGCTAGAATAAAACTTCCTAATCCCTGAATTTCCAGATGTCACCGGCCGTCAAGGATCTGTATCTGTCACCGACCGCGGCCACTCTGCAACCGTCTCCACGCATCGCATCGTCCGAGAATCCATCTGCCAATCCATCTACCTCGGTCTCAAAGTTCTTATGCTGACTTTCGGGAAGCTTCTGGCTCCGATGTGGCCACGTGTCGCAAGGATTGTCAAAGATCTGTTGGCTAAGAAGCCAGGAGCCCCGAGTGCATTGGCATTTGTCGATTTTCTACTTCATTCTAATCTTCCAATTGCTCTGTTCATTCTTCCAATGATTCAGAATAAGGTATTCCTACTAAAAATGAGATAAACACTGAAATTTCGGGGTTTCAGATGAAACAAAAGCCAGGATCCGAACAAGAGGCTGCGTGGCAAGTGGAGATTCTGGAGAAACTCGACGCTCGCTCTCATAACATCATTCCAATGTCCATTTTAATCGTTAAATGCAACCAGGAGCTCCAACAACTCCGCGAGGAGCTAGCTATGAAACCAATCGAAATGGCTAGATCCTACACACCAACCATGGCTGATCCCCACTCCGATTCTTCAGCAGCTTCCACGGCGCCACGTGGCGGCACATCCCGTCAAAGTATCGATCGAAGAACCAGTGTTCATGCAAAGAAGGTCCTGCCCACTATGAAAGAAGACATTCCGGAAGACGTGGAAGATTCTGATGAAGTCGGAGAAAGTTCGGGAAGGATCATCAAGAGTCCCAGTATTCCGTTGAATAAGACTCAGCAATCGAGTCGGACCAGATCTGTTAGTGGATTTGGGATGTGGAGGAGTGTTCGGAGGAAGTCTAGACATGTTTCGAGTGCTGAGGAGTCGTCGGAAGAACGCGGAAGTGTTGAGTTGCATGATATCGGAGCTGGAGCGGCTGGAGCAGCTCCGGGGCATCATTCAGCACTACATGAGGTAGGTGGGGAAGCTGTAGGGTATTTTAGGCTAATTTAGATAATTTTAAAGGCCTATTTAGACCAATTTAAGCCATTTTCCGTTAGTTGAGGTCAATTTAGGTCTCCTTTAAGGACAACTTTTGTTATTTTAAGGCCGATGCAAGCACATTTAGACTACTTGAGACCATTTCCAGGTCATTTTAAGCCATCTTATGCAAATTTTGGTAATTTTTAAGGCCAATTTGAACCATTTTAGCCCAATTTCGGTCATTTAAAACCCAATTCAAGTCATTTTCGGCAAGTTTTGGTCAATTTTAAGGCCAATTTAAGCCATTTTTAATGACAATTCAGCCTAATTCAGACCAATTTAGGTCAATTTAGATCACTTTTATGGCAATTTAGGTCATTTTTGAGGCCACCGTTGCCGAATATTGGCGATTCCAAATCAAAATTTGAACGATTTTGGAGCGATTTCAGCCATGTTCAGACTATTTACGACCGTTTTCAAGTAATTTTAAGCTGATTTCGACCAAATCGAGTCATTTTAGGGCAATTTTAAGGCCAATTTAAGTCAAGTTGGACCAATTTAAGCCATTCTAGATCAAATTAGGTCAATTTTAAGGCCCCTTATCCTGATTTAGGCCCAATTTAGACCAATTGATGCCTTTTTTAAAGCCAATTTAGATCCATTTTAAGGCTAATTTAGACAAAACCAAGGCATTTTAGGCAATTTTAGGTCATTTTGAGGCCAATATAGGGCCAATTTAAGCCAATTTAGATCAAAAATCATTTAAATTTTCAGCCAAATCGAACTCCAAATCGCCGATCCACGGAAGCTCTCGTGTTGCCGCTTCACGAGAGCATTGACACCAATAGACATCGATGTAAGCTATTTCAAGCTCAATTATCTCGGCTCCTATGAGAGAGATCAAAATTTTGTCAACTGATAAAATGGTTATCATATTATCAGCAACAATTTATCAGTTGACAAATTTTTTATATCTTTTACAGGAATCGAGATAATTAGGCTTAAAGTCGGGTGGTATAAATTTCAAAATTTCAGTCGTCTCCTTCTCAACGCCCAAAAAGTCGCACGAGGTGTCGGAAGACGTCTTCCAGATCACAGAACAACATCAATTGGTGTGAAATCTAGCATATCTCTACACACGATTTAACCATTTCTAGTAATATTTTTTCCAATTTTTGCCTTTAAATTCAATTCCCATTATCTCCACGAATTCTTTCCACAAATTTCTCAATTACCGGGTGTCTAATTCCAGCATTTCTGATATTTTTTAAAATATGAAGAATTTTGAATTTTTTTTTCTTATTTTTATGATTAAAAAGGGAAAAATCAACAATAACAAAAAATCAACAATTCAAAAATAGGCCTTTTTCTTATAGTCTAGAAGTTCTAGGCCTTCTTTTTCAGCACCTTTTTCTTCCCGGCCGTTTTTTTCGGCGTCTTCGTCACTGCCACGTCATCAGCCTCATCAGAATCCTCCACTTCTTCCTTTATCTCCTCCTCCTGAATCACTTTTCGTTTTCTCAAATTCTTCTTCGGCACGTCTTCGTCGTCCTCTTCCACTGGAACCTCCACAATGTCATCCTCCGACATCTTCTGCTTCTTCGTCACTGGCTCCATGACATCCCAGACGTCGTCTTCCTCGATGACGTCGTCCTCGTCTTCTGAATCCCGATAACCATCCTGGGTCATGTTACCGTACTCCGTCTCGTCCTCATCGACTTCTTTCTTCGCCGCATTTTTTCGGTCGTTGAGAATTGAGAGCTCATTTCGGAGCAGGACACGATTGAGACGGGTTTTGCAGTAGATCTGAAAAAGATAACGTTAAAGTCGCGCCGAAGGCGCACCAGCCATCTGTTTGAAGCGCCAGAGACGCGGTAGATCATATAGCAACGTAGAAAAATTCCAAAAAAAATGAAAATTCTTGAAAATTCCCTTTTCGAGCAATTTTAAGCTAAAATTTGATGAATTTTGGCTGGAAATAGCTCGAAATTGGTTGAAAATGACCTAGACTAGGCTAAAATAAGTCTAGAATCTCGCAAATTCGTCTAAAATTTCAAAAATTGGTCTTTTTAAAGTTTTTTAGGCAAGTTTTGAATGGTTTTAGACCGATTTTAGCCTAGCCTATCTGTTAGGGTCATTTTCCGATCATGTTCAGGATATTTCCAGCTATTTTCTTTCTATTTTCAGCTATTTTGAGTCATTTTGAATCATTTTAAGCTCCTTTCAGGTCGTTTTTCGTGGTTTTTGAGCTTTTTTTTCGTGATTTTTTGCGCATTTTGAGCCATTTCAATGACTTTTAGGTGGAAATTGGTATTTAAAACATCTGAGAACCTACCAGAAGTTTCCAGAAACGGACGATTTTTCGAGAGAAAAATTGATTTTTTTCTCCCATTTTTAAGCAAAATTTTTAGACCTTTTTAGGTTTTTCAGCTGTTTTTGAGAATTCTTTTTCGATTTTTCCAATTTTTTTGTCTGAAATTCGACGGGATGGTGTTCTGATTACTGTAGTTTTTTTTCTTCGAACATAAATTTGAAAATCACGTGGAAATGCAGAAAAAATCTACAGTAATCTACAGTAATCGTCTGTCAAGAACACCGAAAAAACTTGCCAAAAAATCGGAGAAAAAACCAATTTTTCCCTCGAAAAATCGTCCGTTTCTGGAACCTTCTGGAAGGTTCTCAGATTTTTTAAATACCAATTTTGACTTAAAAATCATTAAAAATGACTTAAAATAAGCAAAAAAAAGACTCATTTTAGCCTAGTTTAGGTCATTTTCAACTTGAGCTATTTCCAGCCAAAATTCATCAAATTTTAGCTTCAAATTGCCGAAAAAGCGATTTTTCAAGGTTTTCCGATTTTTTTGGAATTTTGAAAAATTCAATTTTCTATATACACATTTTGATGCAATAGACATTGAAAATCCTTACCTTATGAATCAACTTCCTCGTCTGCAAATCATGAACCCTCAGGAAGCGATCAATGCCCACCGACGCGGCCAACGGCATTGTCGGATGGCCATCGATGCTGCGAATCGATCCGGCTTGTCCTTTGAACTTGCACATTGGGTGCACTTTGCTCCTCAAGTCGAATAAACCCATTTCGCCAATCGAATTAGCGGCCAGGACTTGATTGGTTTTGTTGGTTAGGGAGGTGCACATGATCGGGTTTTCCATGAATTTCAGCTTGTTCACAGGCCGACGCTGTGCACGTGGATCGTAGACGCGCATCTGGAAAGAAACGGCATTTTAGAGTAGTCAGGCTTGTATTTATGGCTCCGGGACATTAAAAAAGTATATACTTTATTACATAAACCTTTGTTATAGGGTCAAAATAGCTCAAAAATGGTCTAAAAAGGCTGAAAATTGATCAAAGTGATCTAAAATGTCTTAAAATCGGTCAAAATGGCTTAAAAGGACAAAAATTCCACAAAGAATGGCGATTCTAGCCAATTTTCAGTAATTTTAAGCAATTTTTGATCGATTTTAAGACATTCTAGAGCATATGGGACCAATTTTAGATTATTTTCTGCAATTTTTAGACCGTGGTTGACCCTATTTCAGAGTCGGCCCTTCTAATACAGGTTTTACGGTACATGAAAATCTAGAAATATCGAAAATTCGAGAAGAAAATTGACGGTTCTAACCAAATGTTCAGTCATCTTAAGCCATTTTTGACCGATTTTTAGACATTCTAGATCACTTTGGACCGCTTTCAGGTCATTTTCAGCCTTTTTTAAACCATTTTAAGACCACTTTGGACCATTTTAGAGCTATTTTTGACCTTCTATATAAATATGCACAGTACCGGGCCTGAAATCGGTTACAAATGAAAAAAAACTACCTCATGAAGCTTCGTGGCCTCCAGAATCGTATTCTGCCCGGGAATAAACCGCGCATCAGTGATCATAATCGGAATCTCCAATCCCAACATATCGGGCGGCACATTCCTCGCACTCCACACCTGTTGCCCCGTCTCCAGATTCCACGTCTTCAGAAGATTCTTCATTCCGCCGGTGACGACTTCTGGCTTCTCCTCCGAGCCACGCATGACGGCGACACCTGGACCACACTTCCACTCGAACACCACCTCGGATTTATCGTTCCAAATCTGAATCTCGCCGCTTTCAACGCATGTCAGGATTTTTTCGCTGGAAAAATCAACTTTTATCTTTTAAAATAGGGTTTTTTGACTACAAACTCTGTCTTATGGAGCCCTTTAATTGCTCCGGTGCCTCCTGTGACTGTTAGAATCGACACTTGCTCATTCTGCTCGATATCAAACAACTGGAGGTCGCGATTGATCCGGGCGATCAGAATTTCAGTCTGTTGCTCATCACTCCAAATCATCGACGTAATTTCGTCGCTTTTCGGGTCCAGCGACTTGATTTCGTTGAGGTTTTCGAAGGTGTTATCTTTCAGAAGGGCTCCTTTTAGTGCGCCGGTTGTGGCGCCTACATAGCAATCCATTTACCTGGAAAAACATTTAAAAAATTTTCTAAACATTATTAGTGAAAGAAATTGCAAAAAGAGCTCGAAATTTGGTTGAAAATCGGTGAAATTCTATGAGAAAAATATTTTATTTTTTCGTCGAGAAAAGCAATCGCGCTCTGGCGAACACACAAAAACACAGCGGAAAGTTTGAATTTCGATTTTTAGCCTTAATTCAGGAGTGTTTTTGAAATCCAGATTTTCATCGCTTCTAAGAACAATTCCACCACGATTTTAGGCAATTTTAGACAAATTATGTGTCTTTAACAGCTAGGTACTTGCTCCTAGACCGAAAATCGATACATTTCGCCAAAAAGCGGTGCAAACGTGCCCCACCGCATGGGAGAAATTCAAATTTCCCACCGCCGCCAATCGTCACCACTCGGGCGGCAAATTTCTGTTTTTCGATTCTCCAGCCCGCTCGTTTTCCGGATTCCTCGTCATTCTACACAATTTTCATTCTCATCTTCTCATTTTCTCCTAAAATTTTCTCCTAAAATTTGTCGTTTACAGCGCATCATGATGATGCTCCGAAGTCAAGCGAAAAACGTGGATCCACCGGGTAAGAGCGGAAAATTCTGGAAAATTCTAAAAACGTCTTTCAGCCGATGGACGCCAACACCAAAAACGAAAACAAGCGGAGCAACTTGATGCGCTGAAAAATCCACTGGAACCCGTGGCCAAGAAGCAGCTGAGCAAGGTATTCATCTACTTCGTCACGTGACAAGGCCGCGACGCGGCCGCGTCGCTTCACTTAGCCACCTATGCTAATTCTTCTGGAGCCGTGTAGCGATTTTCAGATGTTTTCAGACGCTGTGCGTGTTGCAATGCGGTGTGCTTCTTGAGCCGCGACGCGACCGCGTTGCTTTACTTTGCCACGTGTTTATCAGCTGCTGGCTCCCGAGCCGCTACGCGACCGCGTTGCATTGCTTTGCTACTTTTCCACGTCATCTAATCTTTCTTCCAGGGACTAACGGAACTTCGCGGACACCTCTCCGGCTTCAAAATAGACTCGGCGAAGCGCGAACAGCAAGGAGGCAAGAAGAATCCATCGAACAACGATGACTCAGAGAACATTGCCCCCGGCAAGGCTCCCTACGTAGATCCATGCCCCCACTACGACTATGACCAAGAGGAAGCTCACAACCCTGACAGTGTCTCTGAGTACGCCCCGGAGATCTTCGACTACTACAAAGCTCGTGAGATTCAATTCCAAGTGCTGCCATACCTTGCTCGTCACCCAGAGATCGATGTCAAGACGCGTGCGATTCTCATCGACTGGATGGTTGAGATTCAGGAGACGTTCGAGCTGAACCACGAGACGCTTTACAACGCTGTCAAGCTCACCGATATCTTCTTGCACAACTCCAAGAACGTTGACAAGAACACCATCCAGAAGCTCGCCTGCGTGACGATCTTCATCGCCGCCAAGTACGACGAACGCTCGCCACCCCTTGTCGACGACCTCATCTACCTCTCCGGAGACCGTTTTACTCGCGAGGAGCTTCTTGCCATGGAGCGTTCCCTCTTCTCGACCGTCGGATACGATCTTGGATCCCCACTCTCCTACCGCTACCTTCGCCGCTTGGGACGCGTGTGCCGTGTCGATATGCGATCGTTGACGATGGCTCGCTACATTCTCGAGACATCGTTGATGGTCTACGACTACGCCTTCATCTCCCAGGCTCGTCAAGCCGCCGCTGCCTTTGTTTTGGCTATGCGCATGATGGCTAAGGATCACAGGTATGAGTGGAATCCAGTGCTGGAGAAGTATTCGGGATTCACTGGTGAGGAGATCTATCCACTCGTGGAGCACATGAATCACATCATGCACTTCGTCACTGCCAAGTGGACTCAACTCGCCAGCGTTCGTCAGAAGTACTCTCATGAGTGAGTTTTCTTTACCCTCAGCTTTGAGCTCAATTGTCTCAATTCCTGTGAAAGTTATCAAAATTATGTCAACTGATGAAACATTGGGGATATTATGATAAACAATTTATCAGCTGATAAAATTTTGCTACATTTCACAGGAAGCGAGATAATTAAGCTCAAAGTCGACGGCTTTTCCGATTTTTTCTAGCAATCAATTCCATTATTCCAGAGTCTTCTTCCACGTCGCCGAGATTCCATTCCTTCCGGATACGCTGAAGGCCGTCAACGCCCACACATACGCGCCAGTTCCAGTCTTCTCCTACCCATAACCTACTCATTTACCACTTGGATTCTAAATCCTCCCTCTGATCTTTGTCCCAATCCCCTCCTGTTACCACTCATTTAAATCTCTCCACGATTGACATTTATATTGGTGTAATATTTTTGTGCATAGTTTTTTTTCTTGAAAACTTGCTTTTAATCCCTCGACATCCCCCTTAATCTGATGACTCTTCCCCACCCCATAATTGCCTTGATTTGACCGTCGGGCCCACCAAATCACTTTCAAAGTCCCCTCCTAAATTCCCAAATTGCGATATATTATCACTCTGAACACATTACACCTTTCGTTAACAAATAAAGATTTATTTCGCAAAAAACGCGTTAGCTATCCTTATGGCTTCCGAAGGCCACTCCTCGCCGCCCCAACCGTCGTTTGATACATTGTTTCATCGGTATGCTCTCCGGCGAAACAAACGGACAGCCTGTAATGAAGTGATGCGTTGCGGTTGCGTCGCGGTTGACCTCTTCTTACCGTCCCGCCCTCCAAATAGGCTCTCCGATTGTTTGAATAACCTGTGGTCCCGACTGTCCGGGTGTAATATACGAGTAGCTGCCGCAGGCGAATCGATCTGTCATCCAGTTTTTGCGGAAAATTCGTTTGGATGGTTCCCCGTGGCAAATCGCCTTCAGATGACGTGCGAGGTGATTGTCAAGGAGGGTTTTGAGTTGAGCATCGGAGAGGCTTGCGATTTGTTTCGGACCATTTCCAGCGATCCAGCAGACAAGAATCTGAAAATTTCAGTGCGCGTTGCGGCATTTGAGTACGAAAGTGGGTGGAGCTTCGACTAAATTCTTAAAGGCACATTTAAAGGAGCATGACCTATGTTTGAATTTTGACGAATTTCATCGATTTTAAACTATTTTTTTTCAAACAAAAATAGCATATAACAATGAAAAACAGTATTTTTTTTTCAGTGTTTTGGTATTCATCGATTTTTAACTATTTTTTGAACAAAAATCGCAAAAATAGCATGAAAACTGTTTAAAAAAAAATGCAAAATTGATGAAATTGACCAAAAAACCTTTTTTCTGCAATTTGTCGGATTTCTAGTAACAAAAATGCTTTAAAAACGGTGAAATTCAAAGAAATTTGAAAATAGACCATGCTCCTTTGAATGTGCCTTCAAGGATTTTGCTAACGAAGCCTAAGCTCCGCCCACAGTCGAATTTTCGAGAAAAATCACATTCTCCGCCCATGAACTCGGCTGAAAAACCATAAAATTCTTCTCCTCAGAACAAATCATTATCGTCGACATCTCCTTCGGCCACCAAATCGACTCGTACTCCAGAAACACCTTCAAATTGTTCCCAAAGCCCATTTGCTCTATGGCTTCTACCTTGCCACGTGGCAGCTCTGGTGTGAACAACGTCTTCATATGGGCTTTTAGGTATCCTAGAGAGCATGTCAACAGGATCACATCAAATTTAAGGACTTCTCCGGATTCTAGGGTTACTGTAACGTCGTCGGAAGCGATGTTGGTTACTGGGGAGTTCAGTCGAATTTTTTCCTTGGGAATTTTGGATTGGAATTCTTCGAGAATCTTCTGGAAGCCGAGTTCGTTGAGAACTGCAGAGTCTTCGTCATCGGTGCCATCATCCCAGGTGGAGAGGTTGAAAAGGGATAGTTCATGAATTGGACTGGACCATTCCACTTGGAAATAGTTCTTGTAGATTCCACAGAGTTGTTTGAATAGGTTATGGTCTTCAGGGGGAATAGTGGAAAGGAACTTTTGAAGATTCTCTTCGATTTGTTCCTCAACACTAGAATCTTGGTTGGGTTCTTGAGATTTGAGGTAGAGAAGCTCATTGAGAGAAGTTACAAATCCCCGGAAGATTTTCAGCTTTTCTCTGGAAAAAATTTCATCGTATATTTTAGAACTCAATTTTCTCTGTTCCTATAATTGATATGAAAAAATTTTCAACTGATAAAATGTTTCTGGTATTATGATAAACAATTTATTAGTTTACAAAATTTTGATATCATTATCAGGAATCGAGATAATTGAGCTCAAAGTTATTGACTACTCACTCCTCAACCTTTTCCCCATCAACCACTACGATCCCTTCTTCATCCAACATCCACAAGTCTTTGGTTCTAGACTGAACCTTGTCCAGAAGATCAAACTTTTCCACAATTCCATAAATCTCATTATCCAACCCGTTAACGTATTCTGCTCCATGGTGAAGGTATCCATTTTGGTATTCGAATGGGTAGACACGTCCACCGACCCGATCCGAACCTTCAAGAATCAGGTAGTCCAGGCCGAGTTGCTCAAAGTGACGGGCGGCACGAAGTCCGGCGAATCCGGCGCCGATTATACAGATTTTTGGCTGAAAATAGGGGAAATTACGGCAGTTTAAAAACGGCGACAATTACCATCACGACTCTCATAGAGCGCTCACCCAAACCCTAAACTTTGAGCAGCTCAATTATCTAGGTTCTTTCATAAGATATCAAAAAGTGGTAAACAGATAAAATGTTTATCATAATGTCACCTATATTTTATCAGTTTACTATTTTTTGTTATCTCTTATAGGAACCGAGATAATTGAGCTCAAAGGGCAAGTCTAGTGGAGCTCTAATAGAAGCCCTTCCTCGACGAGTGATTTGAGCTCAATTATCTCGGTTCTTTCAGAAGATATTAAAAATCTGTCAACTAATAAATTAATTATCAGAACATCACCAATATTTTATCAATTGAAAATTTTTTGACAACTCTTATAGCAACCGAGATAATTGAGCTTAAACAAGACATACCTCTTTTACAAGAAAATCTTCGAATATCATCAAAATTAGAAACGGTGTGTAAAGGGGATTTTTTATTCTCACAAAAAGTACATTTCGCGTACAAAATCAGGGATTTTCTAGTGGATTCGGAGCAAAAAACCGAGAAGAGTAGGAAAAAAGTTCAGAGACGCAGAGTTATAAATAAGAGGAAAGAGAAAAATGAAGAAGAAAAAAAACAAAAAATTAGCATCAGAAGAGGAAGACGAAGATGATGAATCATATGTTGTTGGTGTGGAATTTCTCATGGTTATTTTTTCGGGGAGAGAAAAATAAAAGTAATAATGACAAAGTCTAAATTCCCTCTAAATTCAGACCAATTACATGGCAATATCCTTCCCAGGTCTGATGAGACTTGCCAAGTACAAGGCACCCTTACTTTGAGCCAATTTATCTCGGCTGATATCGGTGATATCAAAAACTTGTAAACTGATAAAATCTAGGTGATTTCATGATAAACAATTTATCTGTTGATAGTTTTTTGATATCTTTCACAGGAATCGAGATAACTGGGTTTAAAAAGTAAGGTTTTTTTCTAGAATAAGTGTTACAGTAATGCTTGATTTCTAAAAAAAAATTTAAAATTTGTTTGCTGGCATTCAAATGTGTAGTATCCACTGGAAACATCTTCTATCCTGGCAACTCTAAAAAAGAGACTTGACGACATTTTTTTTCCGATTTGTTTCTCTAAACCAGTGTTTCTAGATCAATTTTGAAACAAAATTATGAAAAGTGCCTGTTTTCGCCGCCCAAGAAACTAATTTTGACATAAAAGTTTTGTTCGTTTAACACCTTTAGGTATCCTTCACATTGGACTAAGCAATTTGACTGGAAGCTCCCAGGGAAACCTGTAAGAGCCACAAGTCATCAACTTTGAGCCCATATATCTCATTTCCTGTAAATTATATGAAAAATTTGTCAACTAGTAAATTGTTTATCATGATATCGCAAACGTTTTATCAGTTGACAACTTTTTGATATCTATTACTGGAACCGAGGTAAATTGGCTCAAAGTTATGAGGTAGGGGGCTCTTCTAATACAAGTTATACGGGAGTTGAATACCATTAAGTATCTTCTGCATTACACGAAACGGACTTTTTATAGTTCCCGATTTTTTCTACATCCTACTAGTGCTTTTCTTCTGGACCCCATTCCTCTATTAACATTCGATGACCTCAAATTTCAGTATAGTATTTCAAAATTCCTATGTTGAAATCCAGTGTCAATGATGCCTCATGCCATCTATTTTCGATATATCGTCGAAAAATTTCTGGAAAATCAACAATCTGGGAGGAACACCCCAGTTGTTGATCTATGACCTTCTCCTTGGAGGAAAATGGTAGAGAGATGGGGGGAAAACAAAGTCAGATGCCGCAGAAAACATTTTGTTTGCTTTTGCTGTCTATTTGTTACTCTATTCTTCTTCTCGCCGCCGCGTTTTTTTCGTGGATGAAGAGAAAGAGCAACAAAAAGTTTTATTTTTTGTAAATTAGTTGATCTGATCACTTGGTAATTGGTGCTAATGATCTGATCCAACGAACCAAAAATATTTTGATGGATTTTTTTGTTTGGCGGCTTTGACGGCTTGGATCATGGATCTCTAGAGTTCAGAATCTAGATTTTTAGCTAGTTAGCAACTTCCTAATACCTCGGCTGCCCAAAAACGGCTGTGTGGCGGACCATGCTCAAATTTTGTTTGGGAATTGCCCAGAAACGGCTGTATGGCGGGCCATGAGGAGATTTTGGTTTGAAAATGCCTAAAAACGGCTCAATAGCGGGCCATGGGCAGATTTTGACCGTCAAATGCCCGAAAACTGCTGTAAAGCGGGCCATGGACATATTTTGGTCAGAAATTGCTCAAGAACGGATGTGTAGCAGGCTATGGAATTTCTGAATTTCTGAATTTCTGAATTTCTGAATTTCTGAATTTCTGAATTTCTGAATTTCTGAATTTCTGAATTTCTGAATTTCTGAATTTCTGAATTTCTGAATTTCTGAATTTCTGAATTTCTGAATTTCTGAATTTCTGAATTTCTGAATTTCTGAATTTCTGAATTTCTGAATTTCTGAATTTCTGAATTTCTATGAATTCCAAAACTCATTTTCGACCAAACAGATTGTGGTTGGAAATTTGCCAAAAACGGCTCTATGGCGGTTTATGGTCAGATTTCGATCGCAACTTGTCCAAAACGGCTGTATAGCGGAGCATAGGCAGATCCTGGTAATTCTAAACCTAATTAACTCAAAACCCTTCGTTTACAGTTTATCAAACGAGACCAAAAACCAACAGTATGCTAATTTCAAACCTTGTTGACGCCTTGCTACAGAACAAAGTACATACAGGCGCGGGCGCCTCCTGTACATGACACCCCCCAACCAAAAAATTAGTAAATCAAAGATCAGATAGATAGAAGCAAACCTGTTCACTGACCATTTATTAGAGTAGTTGTTGACTCCTCAAACTGTCGAAAAAAGCGAACAGAACAGAATAGTTCTGATTTTATCGTTTTTGGCGGTGGTAGGAATGGAAAATGGCCAATGATTAGAGAAGTGTACACTTCTAGAATAGGAGTCTTATCAGATGATTGGCTTTATATAACTATGTTGGGTGATACTGTTTTCTTGGAAAAAAAATTATTTGGGGATTTCCAATTTGACTCTTTAAGCTCAATTATCTCGATTCCTGTTAGAGATATCATGAATCTGTAAACTGATAAAATGCTACTGATATTATGATAAATAATTTCTCAATTGAAATGTTTCAGATATCCTTAAAGAAAACGAGATAATTGAGCTCGAAGTGAACCTATAGGTGGTCCTTGCAAGTGCAAGTGTCGTCCATCTTGCCCTTAAAGAATCCCTGGCCCTTTTCTATCTTTCTTCTGATTCTTGATTCCGATTTTCAAAAAAAAAAAAGTCACAAGTCGCTGAAATCAGTTGACTGACTATATTTTCAACTTCTCCTCCTTCTCCTCCCTTCAAATGGAATCTTGTAGAATATTGTTTTTATGAATGATTGAAAACCAGAGTACATGGTGTCTGTAGGCTACTTTCACTCTTATCAGTTGACACTTTTAAATATAGGCAGACAATTGGATTGGTTCTTTAGATAAAGATTATTCCGTGGGTCTTCAACGCAACTTCAATTTCCTCCTTCTGGATTAATTTAATTGAGTTTTCGGGTCCACGAGAGTTTGGAGTTACTCCAGACAGACGTTTCTATTTTGAGATGAAATAGACCAACTTTTCTATTTTAAGAAAAAGAAGAAATTTCAGAAAAATCACCCTGAGAACTAGTTCTTTATACTTCCTCCTCATTCTGGCATGTTATTGTACCCCAAAGTACTCAATTTGTCATTTTTCAAGAAAAAGAAGAGAGGTGATCTGTGATTCTTCCAAAGACTCTCCTATCACACACCGAGAGAAGACGTCACCGCCCTCTTCATGATCTCTTCTACTCCTGTTTCGACGATTTGAAAAATCACTTTTTCTCATTTCTTTCAACGTCCGCGTCTCTCACAAGTTCGATACTCTCTCGCTGCGCCCAGGGTCGCTTCTCTGGTTCTCTGTCTGATGTATTGTTTCTGGTTCATGTGTCTCTCTGTGTGCCCTTGTTGTTTATGTGATGTGTGAAAATATAGAGGTAGTGTCACATAGTCAGTTAGGCATTTTGCGGAATCGGTTGGTCGCAAAACATTTGTCTAAAACCTCTAATAGAAGGGCCGTCAGACTCTCAAGTTTGAGCTCAATTATCTCGGTTCCTTTAAAGGATATCGGAAATGTGTAAACTGATAAAACATTTTTCATGTTATGATGAACAATTTATCAGTTTGATTTTTTTTATATCTCTCATAGGTACCGAGATAATTGAGCTGAGAGTTATGTTACCTGGTTTTACGGCTTCTCTCTCTCTCCCTCTCTCTCTTTCTTTTTGGCTCCCAAGGTACATAAGTGTTCCAGACAAAAAATGATCATCAAATCAAAACTTCCAAAGCTGGAAATCCCCAACAAGACCTTCCATGACTTCTTGTTTGACGAGTGGAAAAAGTTCAAAGATGATGTGGCAATTGTGAGTTTTCTAAACCTAATTATTTAGAAATTAGCTAGCTTATCAAGCTAATAGCTAGCTGAGCAAGCTCTTAGCTAGCTTGGAAAGCTTGTAGCTGGCTTAGAAAGCTTTCAACACGCTTTGCGAGCTCTTAGCTAGCTGAGGAAGCTTTTAGCTAGCTTAGCAAGCTTTTAGCTAGCTTAGCGTGAAGAGCTTTTTTAATTGTTCAAACATTTCGCTTTAGCGCTCTAACCCTAACCCAACGAATTTTCAGCAAGTCCCTTCCAAATTTCCAGATCGACAACGACTCTGTCCAACAGTACACATTTCAAGAAGTCATGGACAAGGCAGAGTTCATCGCCAAGTCTTTAATGTACATGAGAATTGAGAAGAGTGAAGTCGTCCTTCTGGTTATGGATTGGTCGCCAGCCGCCATCTACATCTCATTGGGCGTTTCAATGGCAGGTGCTGCTATTCAAATCGTTAGTCCCAAGCTTCAACAATGGGAGATGCAGTTTCCGGTCAGGGAGAGTGAATCCAGATTTGTGTTCTCCGATCCATTGGGACTTCGGGAGATTGAAAAGTTGATGAAGTGCATGAACAGAGAGTACAGAGTGAGTATTTTAACTTTAAGCCAATTTATCTCGGCCACTTTGAGAGATACCAAAAAACGGTTTACTAACAAAATGTTTATCATAATACCGGCAACATTTTGTTAATTTACCATTTCTTGGTATCTTTCACCGAAAATGAGCTGTATTGGTTTAAAGTTGGGGCATCCAATCAGAGCGTTTCAGATCATTTGCACTGGCACCCGCGACTGTGCCAATGGCTATCCAATCATCGACGACTTGGCTTTTGCCGCTGCACAAGATCTTCCATATCATTCAATCAATCCGGAGACCGATATCGTCTACCTACCTTATTCCAGTGGAATCCATGGGAAGAGAAAGGGCATAGCCACCACACATCGAATCATGGTAGCCAAGACAATGGTCATGTGGAAGTGAGTTTTAAAATTGTTTAAATTTCTAAGTTTTCAAAATTCTTCAGCCCAACTGTTCATACAGAATTCAAGCGGGGAGATCACACCTTGACCATGATTCCACTTCACAAGCAATGCGGTTTGGACGCGATGTATTGTGCACTTCTCAATGGATTGACTATTGTGACAGAGAAGAACTTCTGTGTGCACACTTTCATGACATGTATTCAAAGATATCGAGTGAGTTTTTGATTGATATGATAGAAGAAGTCAAGAGCTACAAAATGGTATTACTTGGAATACTGTATCTTGTCTATAAACAAAGTTACGAGCTAAAAACCGTCGAAGCTACGCAGGCCCTGCTATAAAGCCTCATAACTTTGTTCATAGACAAGATACAGCATTACAAATAGTACCATTTTGTAGTGCTCGTCTAGTTCTGTTGGACCAACAAAGTTAGATATGATAGAAGATCTCAAGAACTACAAAATGATACTGTTTGGATAGCTTAGTCTTGTCTATGAACAAAGTTAAAAGTCAAAAACCGTCGGAGCTACGGGGTCCCAGCTTTAAAGTCTTGTAACATTGTTCATAGACAAGATACAGTATTACAAATAGTATCATTTTGTAGTTCTTGAGTTCTTCTATCATATCTAATTAAGTGCAAAAATATTGATTCTAAAACAACTATGACAGGGCCCGCAATGATACAATGATACAAGGCTTTAGAGCTGTGACCGTGCAGCTCCGACAGTTTGTGGCTTGTAACTTGGTTCATAGACAAGATACAATTTCCCAATTAGTATCATTTTATAGTTCTTGGATTCTTCTATCATTTTTAATTTAGTTGGTCCAAAAATATATTTCATCGATTATTCCAGATCCGCTCGGTTCATCTCACTCCATATCTCATGAATCTTATGATGTTTGAAACCGAAAACCACGAGTATAACGTCGACAGTTTGGAGTGGGTGCTCACTGGAGCTGACGCTGTCACCGAGGAGCTTTACGATGAGTTTACAGATTGCTTCCCATCTGTCAAACGAGTTACACAGAGTATGTATTCTTATCTTAACGTATCTGAATTCGAATGTGAATTTGCAGCGTACGGAATGACAGAGGTCGGCTTAATCTCTCGAAACTACAACGACGATACCGAATTCACCCACTCTTGCGGTCAGGTTGCCGCGAATCTCGAGTTGAAAATTCTCGACGTGCTTACTGGAAGAGAGTTGGGACCACGAGAAAAAGGCCAAATTTGTGTAAAAGGTCTGCCAGCGGACTCACCATACCTGAACAATCCAGATGCTACCGAAGAACACTTCATAGATGGTTGGAGAAAAACCGGAGACATTGGATACTTTGACGAGGATGAGAATATCTATATTGTGGATAAGGTGAAGGAGATGATCAAGGTTTTTGGATATCAAGTGATTCCCAAAGAGATTGAGACCCTTCTATTGACTCATCAGGCCGTGGAGGAAGCAGCGGTGGTTGCAATCAACAATGAGTTGTCTGGAGAAAGGCCAGTGGCTTTTGTGGTGCTCAAAAAGGGGCAGACAGCGACAGAGGAGGATTTGAAGGACTATGTGAACAGTAAGAGTTTTGGAATTCATAGTACCTTCCTTCATCGTCAAAGTTTCAGAACGTGTTATTCGGTACAAGCATCTGGTTCGTATCAACATCACCCAATTCCTGCCCCGTTCTGCATGTGGTACAGTGCTCCGACGTCTTCTAGGTGAAGCTGCGGTGATGTCTGTCGCTTCCATTGCAGAAGTTGAAAAGGAGTTTGCGGAAGAAGTCAAGCATGCCTTGGCGACCTAAATAAGTTCCCAAACTAATATGTGTAAATACTGGATAGATGTACATAATTGATTCACAGTGAGATTACTACATTATGCCTTAATAAAGATCTCTTTCCCTTTATTCAAGTTTAAAATCCCACAGCAATTATATTTTGGCTCTGATCTTTTTCATGATCGGAGCTAGATACTTCTCAAACGCTTCTGGAACGTCCTTCTGGTTCAATTTGCTATGTTTGGTCCATTCCATCAATGCCGGATACACATTTCCATCACGACGACCCAGGACACTTTTGAGTTCGAACTCATGAATTGCGAATCCATCGACGATAGAGACAGCATCCGGACGGATAGTTGCCAGGGCTCTGGAAGATATAGTTCACCTTGTTATGTACCGTAAAACCTGTGATAGAAGAGCTCCTCCGCCTTGGAAGTTAGGTGCCCTTCTATTACAGGTTCTACGATAATTAAAGCTCACTCTGATATTCCACTTTTCAACTGATCAATTTGTTGGGGACTCATGTATCTATCCTCCATAAAATGACCCTGTTTAGATACTTGCAAATCGAAAATGTACAGTTTTGCAAGGGCTCGAAGAACAGGACGCACATCTTCTGGAGCAGTGGAGATCTTTGCCAAGAGGATTCTGACAATGTACAGACGAACGTGCCACTAGAAGATTCAAAGTTCGAAAATCATATTGCTCTGAAAATAGCTCAAGCCCTACCCTAGCAGCTTTGCAGAGCTCCACGGAGCAACTGTTCCATGCTTCATGCTTTTGCTTTGTAGCACTTTCAGTTCGAAGTTTTTGGAACGCTTGAAGTACAACTCTCCTGGTGACATGCTCCCAGTCTTGGATGATTTGATGGTCGCTGTATGTTTTATGAGTGGAGAGTTCTGAGATAGTGGCAGAGCTCTTCTTGTGAAGGTAGCCGCAAATTTTGCCTTCTGCTGGCTGAGCGCAAACTTTCATGAGGTACTTCGCCACTTGCAAAAGCAACACCAAATTGTCCCCCTCATAAGTACAGCTTCCACATGAGAAGGCAGATAACTCAGGAATCCCGGAAGCATGAGAGTAGCCATGACCACCACAAGCCAAACGACACTGCTCAATTCCACCTTGAACTTCAAAGGTGACCAATGCCTTTAGGCCACTTGATAAGGCATAAATGCCAGGAAGAAGTGAGGCTTCCCCTAAGCGGAGTTGTTTGGAGACTTTCTGAAGTTTTATGGGTCCTACTGTAACCTTAACATCATTTTACTCACCTTAAATATATTCTGCAACTCATCACCAGCAATTCTGAATGCAATAGCTTTTGCCATGTAATATTTTTGAAACTCTGAAATAAAAAGAAACCTTGGAATGACGCATCAACATGTTGTTTCTCGGAATTCGGAAGTTATCGAAAATCAGATATCCATTATCAGAACCATTCAAGCTCAACTTTGGTCCAATATCTCCCATCTTCAAGTGTGGCAATCCTTTATGGGTCACCGGGTCTCTGATCTCCACGAAAAATGGATGAGGTCCTTCACACTTCCCATTGGTCCACAAATTGGCAACGATAATCGCATGATTGCAGAACTTTCCAAGACTTCCTGGCCACCATTTGGCTCCACTGATGGTAGGGGTATGTAGCACGAATTCTTGGCTTTTTGGGTCGTAAGTGGCAGTGGTCTCCAGTTTAGACAAGTTGGTTCCATGACCCATTTCCGTTTGGGCATATGTTCCAATAATGGTTCCAGATAACGATTTAGGCATCCATTCGGATAGTTGTTCAGGAGATGCTTGAAATTGGAGGACAGGAAGAAACATGAGGTAGTGAAGAGAGAAAGCCATCGAGTCACGGACATGGACCATTCTGAATGAGAATTTTTCTTAGTGAGAAACTCTCTTGATAAGGTTCTTAATGAGGATTTTGCTCACCAAATTGTCCCCTAACTTTAGACAGCATAAAGCTTGGGCGACAGTATGGGGAACGAAATATACATTAAGAACCTTATTAAGAGAGATTCTCAATGAGAAAGATTCTCATTAAGAAAAAACTCCTTTAAGGATGAAGGAAAATGTGTTTAGCTGTTTTTAGGGCTCACTGCAAAAAATAAGTGGTCTTCTCAATATTGGTCATGTCGATCATCTTGTGGTACTTTGCCATTCCAGCTAGCTTCCGAACCGAATTGTCGATTAATTCTTCTCGACTCATGAATGGCGTCGGATGGGTGTCCTGAAGCTCTTTGTGATCTTCGATGTACTTTTCGACTTCTCGGCGGGACTGGAAATAATTAATGATCTAGGACGTCGGCTTGTATCTTGTGATAGGAAGCCATGGGCAGATTTTGATAAGGAAATGCCCAAAACGGCTGTATGACGGGCCATGGGCAGATTTTTGTTGGAATTTGCCCTTAAACGGTTGAATAGCTGGCCAAAGACAGAGTTTGGTTGAACTGGTTCAAAAACGGCTGTATAGCAGGCCAAAGGCAGATTTTGGTCTTAACCTGCCAATAATGGCTGTATAGCGGGCCAAAGGCAGATCTTGGTCTAAAAATGCCCAAAAACGGATGTTTAGCGGGCCAAGTGCAGATTTTGGCCTCTACTTGCCCAAACCCGACTTGTATAACTCACCTTCAATCTTTTAGCACCTCCATGATAGAACTCTGTGAACCTATCCGCATCGAATGTCGCCTTCATTCTCTCCTCAGTGATATCCGGATTGTCTCCATCCCGAATATATCGATTCATATTAGAAGTAGGCAATAATGAAGCAATTTGCACAAATGGCGAGTACTCTGACATTGAGTCGTAATTCTTTCGATTAGGGGCCTCTTTTTTATAGTTGTCATTATGGCCATTTTTTCTAGCATTTTTTCTAGCTGCTCTCTACTGATAGTGGGACTACGGACCTTGCCTTTCTGTCAATCAAACTTTTTTTGGGGTTTTTTGTGCCAGAGAAAAAAATCTGTCAACGAAATGAAACTGGGCACTCTTTTTTGCTTTTTTTTGCTGGCTCCGGTTAGTGATAAGGAACTTTTTTTTCATTTTTTTAAAAGCCATTATCAAGAGTGTCTGATAACAATGATTCAGAAAAAGGGTAGTGATTATTTTATGGGGAAATGTTATTGCTTTTGAAATGTACAATGCTACCTGGCACTCAAGGGTGACCAAAATGTCGGGCGGCCCTCCGAGAGCCGCGGTCCAGTACCCAAAGCCTTGCTGCTACCTTAGCTATTTTTGGGGCTTGTTGGCAGTCATTTGTCAATAAGAATATCCGGATTTGAACTCAATCCGAGCAGAAGTATCCCCAAAATGAACCCCCCCGCCCCCTCCCAGATTTATTTNTAAAAGCTCCCCCTACCCGCCCCCCCCCCCTTCCAGGTCATGTCTTCCGCCAAAGAGCGACGTACCTCTAACCAGCTAACGATTCCAACTATCACCACTTCCCAGAGCACCCCACAGACACCAAGGGAACAGAAGAAAAAGAAGATACTGTTTAAGTGCGCTCTAACGAACACCATATCCGATGTGCTCACTAATCGAGAAGGATGGGCGCAGACACAGTGTGTACCCTATAGCTCAATTATCTCGCTTCCTAAGAGAGCAATCAAAATTTGCGAACTGATAAAGTGTTTATCATAATATCATCAATGTTTTATTAGTTGAAAGATTTTCGATATCTCACATAGGAACTGAGATAATTGAGCTCAAACGACGGTATGTTATAGTCTAACGTAATTTCCAGAGGAGACGATTGGCAATTCTTCTGGGTCACTCGAGAATGGATGACTACTTGTTACGATAAGCACAAGTTCTCCGAGAAGCAATTAATTTGTCACTTCCGAAATGATTTTGAGCTCACAAGAAAAGATTTTCTGATCAAGAACTACAAAAAGGCTAGAAAAGCCAAGGAAAAATCCGGGGTCGATGTGGCGACGGAATTCAACTTCATCCCTTCCAGCTATGTCTTACCTGCCGAGTATCACCTATTTGTGGAGGAGTTTCGAAAATATCCAACTGACACAATTTGGATTATGAAGCCAGTGGCTGGCGCGCAGGGAAAGGGTATTTTTCTGTTTCGCAAGTTGAAGCATGTTCAAGAATGGAAGAAGAAGGACTCGAGTGGGTCGGAGGCGCTTCCCTATGTAGTTCAAAGCTATATACATAATCCGTATTTGGTGGGTGGCAAGAAGTTCGATGTGAGGATTTATGTGCTGGTTACTTCGGTTAGAAATTCTATTAGTTCTCTAAATTCAAATTGGGAAATTTCAGTTCCGTCCAATGAACGCTTGGGTTCATCGAGAGGGTTTCGCTCGATTCTCACATTCCAGATATTCCACGGAGAGTGTGGATGATGCATGTGAGTTGAAATACAGTAACTTGGTATTTGGCTTGTAACTTCTGGTCAGGCTTTAGGGCGGATCTTGGCCAGGTTTTTGTCAGAACTTGCCCAAAAACGGCTCTATAGTGGGTCATAGACAGTTTTTTATCGGAACTTGCCCAAAAACGGCTGAAAAACAGGCCATTGGCAGTTTTTGGTCGGAACGTGCCCAAAACGGCTCTATAGCGGGCCATGGGCGGTTTTTGGTCGGAACTTGCCCAATAACTGCTGCATAGCAAGCCACGGGCAGTTGTTGGTCAAGTTTTGATCTAAAGTTGCCGAAAAACGGCTCTATAGCGGCCGATGGGCAGATTTTGATATATTTGTTGGTTTCAGTCGTTCATCTCACCAACGTAGCAGTTGCCAAAACTGCAGCTGACTATGATCCTGAAAGAGGTCTTAAATGGAGTCTTCCAAAGTTGTTTCGGTTTTTTAAGTCAATGCATGGCCAGTCGAAAGTCTCAAAAACGATGAATGATTTGGCGAAAGTGATCATCGAAAGTCTGAAAAGCGTGCAAAACTTGATCATACAGGTACCACTCCACTTTGAGCTCAATTATCTCGGGTCCTATAAACGATATCAAAAGTTTGACAACTGATAATATATTTATCACAATATCAGGAGTATTTTATCAGTTGACAGATTTTTAATATCTCTCATAGGAGCCGAGATAATTGGGCTTTCAATTATCTTTTTTTTCCAGGACACCCACTGCTTCGAACTCTACGGCTACGACATCCTCTTTGATGAAAATCTGAAGCCATGGCTGTTAGAGGTTGTTATCTGATTTCCCATTTGTCTTGGACATTAACTTCAAAAATTGAAAAACATTTTTTTTTTCGTTTCGAACAATTGGCTTTTTGTGCTCATTGAGCTGTGAAGATAAGCAAGAGATTTATGGGTTTTTAAGATTCTTTTTTTAGGTGAACGCCAGTCCATCACTTACCGCATCGTCTCAGGAAGATTTCGAACTCAAGTATCGAGTTCTTAATCATATGATTGATGTTTTGGATATTGAGAAAAAGTGGGTTTTCAAATACCGTAGGCCCTCTACTATATATTAGAAGACTAGCCATGCCGTCAGCTTTAAACCCATATATCTCGGGTCCTATAAAGATATCGAGAAGTAGCCAACTAATAAAATGCTTATCATAATGTCATAAATATTTTATCAGTTGATTACCTTTTGATACCTCTTATATGAACGGAGATATATGGACTTAAAGTTTATGGTTTACGGTAATTCTTAACAAATTTAGCTAATTTTTCAGACTTCTGGGAAACGAGAACCAAATCGGTGGATTTGACATTTTGGTGCGGAATAGCAAGCCTGTGGAATTATGCAAAGTGGCAAGACATGCTCAGCCGTTTTTCGGAGCGCAGTTGAATTTGAGATTGGGTGAGTTGTCATTACAGTGTGTCTTGATCCTCCTCCTCCTTTTCCCAATGCATGTGTCGTCAGACGGCGGTCATTAAAAGTGCACCATCAAAATCTGAATCACGAAAATTAGAGAGTCTCGTTTGTCGACACGACATAGCTGTCTGAAATTTAATCACCTTTTCATGATCGATCAGCTGTTAGATTTTTTGGGATTTGGGAGGGACAGAGAGAGAGAGAGAGAGTGGTGTTCTGGAACTGAACTTTTTTTCGTGAATCTAGATAGGTCATTTCAATAAATCCTGAAGAGCAAAGGTAGAGCATTGGAGCAATTCTATTTTTGTTCATAGAAATAATAGGCATTTAGTAGTTTTCCAGTAGTTCAGCCAACTGATAAATTATTGGTGATATTATGATAAATAAATTAACAGTTGACAAATGTGTGATATTTCTTACAGAAATCGAGATAATTGAGCTCAAAAGATAAAAGTTAGGGTCAGGGGCTATCTGTCCAACCCCAATGCTTTTCTATTACTGGTTTTAAGGTAATTCCAGCATAAATCAAGATAATGAAACTCAAAGTTGAATGTATGAGTGGGCTTCTACAGTGTTTAACATAAGTATAAGGGCACCCCAAAAACTAGCTATAAATTTTCAAAATCCCAAGTTTTCGAAAATCTAAAAACAAATAATCATAATCAGCATTCAATCAGCACTACGATTCTGTTTTCAGATTTTCAAAAAAATAGCAATTTTTAAAAGTTATAGGTACGGTATTAGGCGTTCAATAGTTTTCCAGTAAGTCTGAAAATGGACCTTCTAGCTCTCATATCCTAGATTTAGACATCCGTCATATTTCCACATCTTGACACGGAAATAGAACCAAGCTCAATCCAAAGGTTCCGTGCCAACCAACCTCATCATCGAAATCCAATTATTACACTTTTCAGGTGATTACGTCGAACCCACACCGATGCCGTGATGATGAGCTTCTACGAACCAACCACATTGACTCACCATCTCAATTTTTTGCCCCAAATAAAACGTTTTTTGTTCAAAAATTTGTTCCAATCAGTCTTATCTCTTCTCTTGACCTTCTTCTTCTCTTTTTTCTCTCCTAATTACCCCCAACAAATCATTCTTTTCCACACCTTCCCTCCAAATCCCTCGACCTCTGGGGTACCAACGAAAAGGGGGCGGAGCCTCGGGGATGGGGTGGATGGGCGGATGTGCTCTTCGAGGACTCCAACCGGCTCATTTGCGAGATGAGATGAGCTCACACACATTGGTCTTCTCCCCCTTCTTCTTCTTCTTTTTTTTCATTCGTAATTTAATGAAAACATTTTTTTTCATTTTTATTTTTTTTGTATTCTCATGGCTCATGCAACTGACATTTATACTATAGACTTCTTGGAAGATTCGTGACTCATATCTTGAGTCAAGAGTGTAGAAGCTATTTACATAGTTGCATCTCACCTAAAATGAATTCAGCTCAAAGAATATTCCAGTTATTTGAAAAATAATTCAGACTATGCAACGAATACTTCTCTTATCCTTCCTGTTAATACCAGCCAGTATACAGTCTACATACACCACAGAATCATATTTCGATAGTAGTGAAGAGGCTCCAAATGTGTTATTGAATCATGTAAGATTGATAATACTGAAAATTCCTGAAGTTTCCAAACAATAAATTTTCAGCTAAATGGCTCAGATGACGAGGAGCTGACACAAGTCAATGAGACCCAGCCGACCTTTGTTCCAGGTACTTTTTTATGAATCCAAAGGGAACAATAAATTATCGAAAAATCATATTTTTCCAAAATGTTGCCACTTTTAGTCTCCAGGGAGATTGAGGCAAAAAATTGATGATTTTTTTTAGTTGTGAGCAAAAAGTGATAAATTCAAAACATTTTTTTTTGACTCGAGCAAAGCCGGAAGGGGACCAAACCTCACCACAAAAATTTGGGATATTTAAATTATCCTGCTTCTCTTCCGACGTAAGCAACGATCATTCAATTTTGGAGGGGGTGCAAATTGAGTCCCCCCTTAATCTTCCAAATCGACCCCACCGGAGGGTCTTACCCTCTTTTTGTCTTTTTTTGGGAGAGTCATGAGAAATGGGTTAGAAAAACGTGACAGAGGAGATAGAACATGGAAGATCGGAAAAGCATGGGAGATCTCGAAGTTTCTGGAATTCCGAAAAATTGTGAATACAAAAATGAACATAGTTGAAAACTGGAAATGATCTACTAGAAGCCCATATACCCTATATGTGCACTTTGAGCTCAATTATCTCAGTTCCTATTATAGATATAAAAAGTTAGTCAACTAATAAAATGTTAATCATATTATCATTTACTTTTTATCAGTTGACAACTTTTTGATATCTTTTAAAGGAGCCGAGATAATTGAGCTTGAGTTACCCTCTATCATAGAAGCCATCCCTATACGCTTTGAGCTCAAACTTTGAGTTTCTTTATCTCGGTTCCAATGAGAGATATCAAAAAATTTGTCAACTAATAAAATGTTGCTGTTATTGTGATAAAAATTTTATCAGTTGAAAATTTTCTGATATCTCTTATGGGAACCGAGATAATTGAGCTCAAAGTGCACATATAGGATGGGCTTCAATTAGGTGCTTATCTTTTTTTCTGGATTTTTAGCGCCTTTTGTTTTTCAAATTAAATTGAAATTCTAGTTTTTCCAAAATCTTCAAATTTCTTGAAAATTTTCATGCTAAACAAAGAGTTTTTTTATCTATAATTTTTAAGCTGAAAATGGCTGAAATTGGATGTTCTCTTTAATATGAGTCTTCTGAATATTTTCAGCTTTTTTCAGCGTTTCCGCTCATTTTTAGCACTGGAAATTAAATACTTTCAAAGCCAATTTTTACCATTTTTTAATGAAACTAGTGGGAAACGGTCAAACTTCCCCACTTTTTCCTACCCAACTTCCAAGAAAAACCACTGACCCTCTCAGCCATTCGTCGAAACTCATAAATTCTCCTTTCCACTGTTCTTCTTCTTCTTCTTTAAACGCTTTCCACTACCCAATAGCTCTTCTGTCACACCTCATTTCCAACTCAACGTCTCACCTCATGTGGCCCCATCTTTCTCTTCCTCACCTCTCGGAAACTTCTACTTCAAAAAAAGCCCATTAACCCGTTTTGATTTGTGGATGAGGATGCGGACTCTTAGTTGCACAAACACACACAAAAATTGTCAAGTTTCTGACAGAGGAAAAAGTGGGGGCAACAACGTTAAAAGTGACGAATAGTGTTGTTTCAGACATTTGTTCGACATGAAAAATGAGCAACCAACAAACATTATTGGTAACCGGGGCTTTGCCTGGCCCTGAATCAATATTTTAAAACCAATTAAATTACATATGATAGAAGAACTCAAGAGCTACAAAATGAAACTAATTCCATAGCCTTATCTAATTTATGAACAAAGTTACAAGCCAAAAACCGACAAAAGCCTTGTAACATTGTTCGGACCCATAGTTTCTTTCAGAATCAATTTTTGTGGAAATGTTAAACGAGATATACCAGAAAAACTCAAGAACTACAAAATAATACTATTTGGATAGCTTCATCTTGCCTTTGAACAAAGTTACAAGTTAAAAACCGTCGGAGCTCAGCGGTTTGATCTATAAAGCCTAGTTCATTGTTCCTTTGCGAACCCTGCCTTAGCTTCTTGTAAAATCAATATTTTTGGACCACCTAAAATAAATATGATAGAAGAGCTCAAGAGCTACAAAATAATACTATTTGGATAACTGCATCATGCATATGAACAAAGTTCAAGGCGTTATATCTGGGACCGCGTGGCTCCGACGGTTATTGGCCTATAAATTTGTTCATAGACAAGATACAATTTTCCAATCAACACCATTTTGTAGCCATTCAGTTCTTCTATCAAATCTGATTTAGTTTGTCTAGCCAGGTTACCACATATTCAAAACATTGGGTTTTCAGGCTCCTCAAAACGTCTCACCGAATATCTTCTCTCCAAACATAACCACAATGCACCGCCCGACGGATTACTGTACGTAGAATACGAACTAGAGCTGGTTCACATTCTAGGCATCGATGAGTTGAAACAAACAATGACAGTGCTAATCTATGTGGACGAGCACTGGATTGATCCTAGCTTAACTTGGGATCCAGCACTATTCGGAGGGATTACAAAGACATGGGTCCCACTGGACAAGATTTGGGTTCCCGATATTATTGTGTTCAACATGTGAGTTTGTGTCCTATTAGCTGTCCTATTATCTTGTCATCCCCCTAACTTGCAATAATAATTGGAATTGAAATTGATCATTAATAATTTTCCCCCCTCCCCGCTTTCTCTCCATAGTACATACTAACAATTAGGCGGAAAGGGTGTCACAACATGTGTGTCATTAAAATTAGGGGTGTGCATGAAGACACAGCCACCCAGAATCCCCCCTCCACGTATCCGAATCACCGGGCGGCTTCTCGCAAGCCCCCAATCTTCTAAAGGGTGAAATCGAACAGGTTGGCACACGAGGATCTTCTCTCAGCCGTTCGCGCGCCAGCCAGGATCTACAGTAACGGGACAGTGGTGGCAAGTCATCCGGCAGTGCATACTGTGTCTTGTGAGATCAACATCAGACATTTTCCACTGGATGATCAGCGATGTGCCATTGAGGTAAGCCTGGGAAAACGTAGGGCCATCACTGCCGAATGTGAGGGCACATAATACATAGGGTACAACGATTCGGGGGTACAAGAGGATGAAAAGTCGTTGAGGGTTACAAAATCCACAATGCAGGGGTACAAAGTTCAAATTTCCAGGTAATTTGTACCCCATGGATGGAGGGTTTGTACCTCTAATTGTAAGTCGTTTACCCCAATGAGCCCAAAACTGTTGTACTATCCGAATTATTTGTCAAGTTTGAGCTCAATTATTTTGCTTCCTATGAGAAATATGAAAAATGTGTCAACTGATGAAATGTTGGTGAAATTAAAAAATTTACCAGTTGAAAATTTTTTTATATCCTTAACAGGAACTGATATACAGCACCCGGCCAATAATATATACAAAAACTCATTTTTCAGTTGATATTTCGGCCATTATGACAACTTTCAGGAGTCTGGAGCTTGGCTGTCAAGTATCCGATCCCTTTGAAAATCTTTGTGGATGTAAAACAGACCTAGATCAAGAACTTTGCATCAACAGAATTTTTTGAGAATCACTAGTTTTTCAACTATTTGCAGATTTCTGAAAAACACCGTTTTTTTCACATTTTCAGTTTAAAATTAGTGATTTTTCGACTTTTTTCGTATCCTGGATTTTTGTACGATTCGGACGATTTTTGACGATTTTAGAAGAACTTTTAGCTCCAATTCTGGATTTTCGACCAATTTTGGTTTGAAAATTGCTGGAAAAGTCAAAACTTTTTCAGCCTAGGTCTGTTTACATTCTCCAAAGTTTTTAAAGTGATCGGAAATTTGACAGTCGAGCTAGAGACTCCTAAAAATCGTCAAAATGGCCTCGCTTATAAATTGGATTAAAGTTAAAAATAAGGGAGCCGTTCTATTAGAGGTTTAAAATTTTTTGCAATTTCCAGATTGCTTCCTGGGCCTATGGCCATGAGAAAATTCGACTCCATGCGCACACCGATCACTCTCTGGAGCACTACAAACGCAATGAAGAGTGGCATCTTCTGAATCTCAATGTGACTGAAGAGAAATACGAGCACGAAGGAATCGAAGTGTCAGAAGTGAAGTTCGAAATTTCTGTAAAACGACGACCCTTGTTCTACATGGTCACTCTGACATTCCCCAGTTATATCATGTGCGCAATTTCTGTGGTTGGATTGTTCGCCAGGTTTTCGACTACTGGAGAACGAGAGGAACGCTTCACACTTGGCGTTACAGCCATCTTGACAATGGCTGTTCTTTCACTGGTGGTCAGTGAAAAAGTGCCGCATAGTTCGACACATGTGCCGTTGTTAGGTGAGTCAACTTTAAGCTCATGTATCTCGGCTTTCGTAAAAGATATCAAAAAGTTGCCAGCTGATAAACATTTACTTAGATTGTCTTGATTTTTTTGTAGTTTACAGATTTTTGATATCTTTTACAACAATTGAGATATACCAGTCGGTTTGGGCCACTTGCCGGGGCTCAACCTCCTGGTTTCCGCTGTAGAAATGGATTAACGTCTTCAGAAGACTTCATAAGCAAATTTTCGAAGAATTATAAAATCGGGCATCATCTCGCTGCCATTTTGAGTTATCTGTAAAAATTTGAAAAAATGTGGTCCAACGGTGACTGTGCTAGGGTCGGCGACCCGGGACACACCCACACACACAGAATTTCGAGATTGTTGAAAGTGAAGATTGGCTCAAAGTTGACATTTTCAGTTGCCTATTTCCTCTTCAACATGGTCATCGTCTCAATCGCCGCAATGACAACTGGAATTGTCATGAAAGTTCATCGACTCGGGCGGTATGGAGATGAACCACACGAGTTTTGGATGAAACTCTTCTTCCTGAGACCCATCTTCAGAACATCTAATGTAAGATCTTTTTTGCTTGGCCAATCAATAATTACTTTTCAGCGAAGAACATATCGTATGAACCCAGAGGAGCCCACTCAAGTGATTCTAGTTTCTGAGACTAGAAATGGCGATTTGCAGACGAAGAAAACGTCGGAGTTGAATGGTACAGCGGTTAAGGAAGTTATGGTGAGTCGAAAATCTTGGAATCTAGGGTAATTCAAAAATTTCAGCTGTCTTCTCGACTGGAGGCTCTAGAAGAGTACATTCGGAAAATGGTGAATCGTTGTGAATCGATAAAGGTTTGTGTTCTTAAAACCTATGGCTCAATTATCGCGGTTTCTATAAAAGATATCAAAAATGTGCCAACTGGTAAAATGTTTATCATATTATCATCTAAATTTTATTAGTTGACTCATTTTTAATATCTCTCATAGAAATTGAGATAACTGAGCTTAAAGTTGACGGTTTCAATCGGCTTCGATGATAGGATATACGGTAACTTTGAGTTCAATTATCTCAATTTTTACAAGAGATATCAAAAATCTGCCAACTGATAAAATATTGGTAATATTGAGATTAATAATTTATCAGTAGTTTAGTATTTTGTGAACGAACCGAGATAATTGAGCTCAAAGTTTACAGCTTGGAGGCCTGCGTGTTTGCTCAAATAGAAGCCCATCCTATATGCGTTTTTTGAGCCCAACTATCTTGGCTTCTATGAGAGATATCAAAAATGTGTCAACTGATAAAATACTTCTGATATTATGATACGCAATTTATCAGTTAGCAACTTTTTCATGTCTTCCACAAAAATCGAGAAAAATTAGCTCAATGTAAGGGGGTCTTGCTCATTCATCATAAAATTTGTCCACTCTAAAAGCTCAAAAACCACCATTAATGTCATTGAGTTGAAATTTGAGGGGGGATTTCCGGCTTTTCATGTCTTGCGACGTTTTTTTATTGCGTTCATGCGTCGCCATCGTCTTCTTCTTCTTCTTCTTCTTCTTTTTCTTTTCTTTTGTTTCTTCTTCTATCTCTCCTTCCCGCACAACCGACACAACGCACACACAACAACTGACTGTGCCCATAAATTGTTGAATGTGTCTTTTGCGCTGTTTAGCAGATAGAAGAAGAGACTCAAAAGAGAGACACACCTTCGATTTATATACCTTGCTGCTTTTTGCACACACTATCGTGCCCCGGATCATTTGGTTTTTGCTCAGAGAAGGGATCATCTTCGGAGGGTTTATTAGGGATTAGAGGATATAAAGGAACAAAAGATCATGATGAGGGCGAGGGTACCCAGAGCATGTCTTATTTAAGGAAAGCTACCACACCAACTTTGACACAATTTATCTCGCTTCCTTCAAAAGATATCAGGAAGCTGTCAATTGATAAATTGTTCATCATAATATCACTATTACTTTATCAGTTGGCACCTTTTTGATATTTCTCATTGGAGACAAGATATTCAGGCTCACACTTGACAGTGTTGGAGCCTTTCTATGTGTTACAAGTTTTACGGTATTTTAGCAACGCTACGGTAAAACCCGTAAATCTGTAATAGGAGAGGAGCCCCCAACTATGACGCGATTTATCATGGCTCTTTTATCAGGTATCAAAAAGTAGTTTACTAACAAAATATAATGCATATCATGAAAAACATTTGTTCAGTTGATCGTTTTTTAGTACCTTTCACGGGAGCCGAGAAAAATTATGCCAAACTTGGCTACCCTTCTATAGGAGGTACGATATTATCGTATATGCACACTTTGAGCTTGATTATCTCGATTCCTTCAAAAGATATCAAAAATATGTCAACTGATAAATTAGTCATCTTGATATTATCAATATTTTATCAGTTAACAGATTTTTGATATCTATCATAGGAACCGAGATAATTGAGCTCAAAGTGAACCTATAGAGTGGGCTTATAGTAGAGCGTTTGAGCCAAATTTAAGCCAAATTAAGGAAACTTCTTTTATAACATCTTCAACTGTATCAATGAATTGAAACCCAAAACATAACAATTTTCAGTGGGAACTCGACGAAATCGACGCCGCTGAGAATATCGAATTGGTCCGCCGTCGATCAACCAATGGATACGTTCGAATCTCAGAACGTTTGGATATCGTCTTCATGTTCTTCTTCTTGTCAACTGTCACCATTCCAGTGGCAGTTCTATTCTACTTGTCTTAATTTAATTTCTCTTTTGTCTTCTTCGAATAAGATAATTGTTGTTTCTAAAACACATAGAAACCAATCACGGGCTCATAGATGTTTTTGTTCCAGAAAATCAGTTATTTGGTTGTTTCTTTGCTTCATGCATTATTTTGGGATAATTTTTGTATATAAAACGGAAATTGAAATAAATATTTTTTTTTCAAAAAGACAATTATTGCTTGTATGGTTGATAGACACCTCCACCGGCTCCATCTGCGACTCGCTTCGGACATGGGCAGTACTGAAAAAGATAGGATTTAGAAATCAAAAAGATTGACATAAAACCTCTAATTGAACGACACCGGATCG